ACCGTATCATCACTCATAATAATATTAAATGAAAATGTCCATAACAAACTTTCATATACAAACGTAAATAACTAATGTTAAGCTTCACTCTCTCTCTACAGTTCTCCTTCTCCTCTTCTCACCTTCATCACCCCCGTAGTTCTTCAGCATGTCTGGCCGAACCCCATGTTGCTCCTTGCGCTGTCTTTTCTTTGCGACCTCTCTCTGCTTCTCTCTTTTTTCTAATTTCCTGAACAACAAAATTTTAATCTGACTGATAATGCAGCAACTATCTTGGGAAAGTATCCTAGTCTCTCCTTTTTCTGTATAACATCTGCGAATGTCTTTACCCTATTTGGTCAGAAGCCGTCGGAACACAAAGACAGCCTATGCCTATAACCAAGGGATAGGATGAGCTGCTTCTCATACTTGATTCCAATGTTTGTTGTTGTAAAAAAAAAGAGATGAAAATTGAAGATAGACAACGATAATAAATGAATTTCCTGCCGCCTACCAAATAGCCGTCCGCTCCATGGGTCCCCCCCGCCATCTAACCCGGTGTCCAGGACTTTCTCTTCTGCAGCCCCTCTCCCCTTAACCATCTTCTATTACAATCTGTTGTCTCTTCATTTCTCTTCTTATTCTTCTCTTCGATCATTTTTCATATTCACTTCAATATATTATCATCTCATCTTCATTTCGTTCACGTTCACCCATCTAATCATAGTCCTTAATTTTTATTTTTTTTTCTCCCATTCTAGCAGAGAATGGAAATCTGAATGAATTCAGGACATTACATCAACCTATCTTTCCATTGATAATTTCACGAAATTTTTCTTTATTTATAACTTTTGAATGATTAATCTTTAATGATTTAAGTTCTATCCAATCTATTATACAATCTACTTCTCCGCTATTACACCCGATTTCATTCAAATTTTCCCAGAATTCAGCGTTTTTCAAAACTTTTTTTCCTTCATACCCTTTCCTTCCTCATTCCCCAACTGAGTCATCTCTCATTTCAATCCTTCAATTGAACCTCTGGCTTGATTCAAATCAGCCACACAGCTGCGCAAAAATCTCAAATATTGTGACCTCAGTCCTCTCATCCCTTCTTCCCATAACTTTCATTCCTTTTTTTTCCATTCCGAAACTGCTTGTCCCAACACCTTCATTAACGATTCGATCATCTTATCATTGTTCATATATTTTCCAAGTGATAATAATTATCTCAGAAGTTTATGCTTATTATAAAGATTTAGTCTCTCTGAATCAATTCTTTTTATGGAAAGCTTGTTTCAAACTTTTTTTGATCATCAACTTTCATTTCTTAGCTGTTTCTCTCATTCAAGCTCTGCGTAATCTCTTCCTTTTTCTTCAGGTGTGATGAAAGCGTCAGAAAGAACAATCAATCTTATCATATTTTCTCGACTGAATCCTGTGTCTTTCTCGAATAAACGTCCTTGATTCCAAATCCTTAGCATCGTCTGTCAGATTGTTGAGATTCAGCAAACTCTTCTCGGTTCATTTCCATTCACACAGGCTTTATCTAGAACATACTTCTGTGCACATATGCACATGTACAGACACTCTTCCATACACACGCATACACACAGCCCATCAATTCCTGGCGATGGTTCTAAGAAAAACATTTATTTCTCTTCAAGTTTCGGAGAGGTTAAGCCTTTACGAATCTGACCGAACAAGGCAACCTAGCAGACACACACACATCAACGTTTTGATTTAAGCAATTAACTACGGCTCTTCCCAGTTTTTTTTCTCTCTCTCTGTCTCTCTCTCTCTCTCTCTTTCTCTTTACCAGATGAAGTGAGAAAGGGAGGGTGTGGACAACAGAATTAATCAATATAATTTGAAAAACAAAATGATCAAGTTATGCATCAATGACTATTGATACTTCTCTAATTCTTTCGACTCTCCCAGTTTCTCAATTTCTTTACAACTTTTCTTTAGTTTTCTCTCATATTCTTCCAGTTTCATTGCATGGCAGTTATTTAGGTTGGGTAACTTTGGGCAGGGCTTGGGACAACAATTGAAACTGTCGGTCCGGTTTCACACCAATTCGTCCTACCCGCTTCGTCTCGTTCATGGACGAGCCAAAGGTCCACACTAGGTGATGTTCATCATCATCATGCTGATCATCATCAACAGACTCTCAACCATCTGTAGTGTTTGTAAGCAACTAAATTAAACTTTATTTATACCTCGTCCGAAAAAAGGGAAATTCAATATTCAACAGAATATTACAGTTTATTCAATATTATTTGCTTCTCAAATCGTTACAATCAAAACGAGATTTGAATTTTCGATATACGTAATATGTTGTTTGACTAGAAAAATATTTTACTTTATAGATATTTTCTCTTTTTTTATGTTCATATCTCTAATATCATCATCATTTAGACCTTCTTAATGAGAAAACATTAGAAAGCGACGATGTCCTGTCTCGCTCTAACCGTTCCTCCTTCGTCGGCTCTTCGAACCTTTTTTCTAACCCGACTTCCACTTTCCACCTCTTTGTCCAAAAACTTTTTGTCGTCGACATCGTCTTCCACATACACATACACACACACATATTATATATAAACTCTCATCATCAATTCTCTCCGAAATTACCTGATTCATTTTATTTTCATATTCTATCTGCTTCAGGCATAGCATGCCCTTCTACAGTCTATTATACTAAATCCTCTCTCTGTCAGCCAAAATCCAGTTCAACTTTGTATTTTCCTCATTCACCCCCTCATATCCTCATTTTTTATCCAAATGTAGTTTTAAATGTATATTTTGCTATCGAAACCCAGCTAAAATAATATTTAAAACAAAATACACGAGTTGGTGAAGTATTTAGACAGTCCACGAGTATGCTGTATAGCACCATATCCGTGCCAATAAGCAACGCAAACTACATTTTCATATTTAACTCGAACTTCTGCTAGGCCATAAGGCTGGAGGAGCACATGCTGTCCTTATTTTATTTTTATTTTTAATATAAACGATTATTTAATACCGGAAGCGTCAATTGATGCAGATCGCTGATCAAACTACAGAGTATAGTCAGGAGGCTAGCCTAATATGGCTGACCAGATTTGCATTCAGTCTGTTTAGTGTCACCTAACTACTCGTCTCGACTAATTTCGAATTTATTGATTGATTTTAATTTTTTTTTTGTCTTTTGGCTTCCGCTGTAACGTTTCATTCTAATTTCGTCATAAATAGAGACACCCTGCTTCATTAGCACATTGCTAGCTTTTTTGATACATTTATGCAAATTCCGTTTCAATTTGCCCAGGTGTATATTTCTTGCGTCATTTTTCGGTTTCATGCTGCTGATTTTTCGCCTGGATGACCAAATATGGAATTCAGCTTATTCCCTTAGCATCTGCATAGGCCAGCGTAGGATAAATATGATTTTGTTGCTCAGCCATTCATAATCGTCCAGAATATGAGCTGTTACGATTTAGCGATCGAGTTGATCGGCGGCAAATTAGGCAAGCCAGAGATTTTCATAGTCAATCAATATGTTTTCTTACATATATGATTTCCGGTTAAATTAGGCTAGGCCATCAGTATACGAATCGATAATTGCACCTTCGAACAGTTTACAAAACTGCAGCCTGACTAACTACATTATCTTTGTGTGTGTATGTATGTGTGTGTTGATGAAAACTGATTGGAAAACTTAAAGAGGAATCAATTAGTTTTTCATCAAAAAAGGCGAGAAAATGATAGCCTTCATGATGATCGTAGTTTGATCATATGCATACGAAATGTCTACATTTTGTAAACATTTCACTTTTGATTGTCTTTTCATCCAGCTCCTTCTGTTCTTAGGCGACAACTGTTACAATGTTTTTATACTTCGTTTCTATTAGCTACTACACATTAAATCAGCGTACTCTAATTACCTACTCTACTTTATGAAGTCATTTTTGTCTTTCGAAGCGTCTTTTCCGTCAGCTCTTCACTCTTCTTCCAAGTGTTCCTCTCTTTCTTCCATGTGTCAGCTTAACCAATGCTTTCTCTATCTCAATCTCCCTCACACACTCTCTCTCTCTCTCTTTCTCTCTGTTGATCCCAATCCGTCTACTTTGACTTTTCGACAGTAGTCTGGCATGAGAGCTTGAACTGTTCAACAAGCAATGTCCTGCGTGGCGCTTATAAAAACGGATGTTTTGATATATTGTTTGGCTCATTTTATATTGATTTATCATAATTCTGATTTAAGTTTCCTCTGCTCTCTTACTAACTTTCTCAGACTGATCGGTCATTCGTATTGACTGATTAACAGCAAACAGCCAGAGAATTTGAGGAACTTTAGCGTTTTTCAAGAAAAAAATAGATTTAAATAATGAATTAAGATATTTATACGCACACATGCGCACAAGTTTACACTCTGATGTCTCGGTTATGCTGTGCTCTTTCACAGCTACTTTTCTTCTATCTAGCTTTGTATGAGAGAGGAACAGAGAAAGAAGGAAGACGAATCTGATCTGAAAAGCAGAAGAGGAGAGAGGTGGTAAAGCAGAATTTAAAAACTGGAGATGAAAAGAGAAAAGCAGGTGCATAGAAAGAAAGAAAGCGCCAATTGTCTCAATTTAACTTTTTCCGTATTTAATCTGCAGATAACGTTATCAAATTGCCGTTTTTTTGTTGAATATCTTATGTGTACTTGAATATTCCTCTAATTCAATCTCAATGATCCATTCCTTCCCGTGTATTCGTGTTATAAACCATGATCATGTTCCTTTCGCATTACTTGTCATTTCACCTTGCGTCATTTACTTCTTTGCAAGTTATGTATTTCATTCCGAACTCAAGCTTACTTAGTTAGCGGTTGTTCTACTTTTCACTTTTTCACGGGTTTCACGTTTTCACGTATGTATGATTTTCACCTCGTTTTATTGCTATCGTCATTTTCGTGAGGAACGGTCGTTCTCTTCGAGCAACGTATGTACGTTTCTAATTCGACTCGTTTTAAGGCTGACGAATGCGAGATCACAATGCACCATGAGATTCCGGAGAGTTTATCAAATCAGGGTTTGTTTACATTTCAAGTGTTTCTCATTTAAACTTTATGCTTCAGGATCTCCATCTCCCTCAAACGTCCAGGTTCGGGTCAGTCCCACAGGGTCAAGTAAACGAAAAAGTCGTCCAGTTAAACGTATAATATGTTCAGAAGTGAGTGTTTACTATTTCTTTATTGGCACGTCCTCTTTTCCTTGTTCTACTATAAGGCAATAGATTAGAATTTTTCCTGAAAAGTGAGATGGTCGTTTGCTAGTAAACTTCTAGAATTTCAAAGTTTTACCCCAGTCCCTGAGCCAATAGTCAATGAATTTAATTTGAAACATTCTGCTAGATACGTCCCATTTCCAGTTTTTTTCTTGCATATGGCTGTACAGTTGCGATTCGCCAATAGTTGTTGGAGTTTAGTGCCCATATTCGGGCTTATGGCTTGCATGCTGTAATTAATTAGATGCTATAGGCTTTATTTGGCTCTTCAGTACTGGCGCTTAGTGTTTCTTACGTTTGTGCTTCCCCACATTGCCTTTGATGGAATAACCCAAGCATTTAAAGGTTCAATAGAAATGTGGGAAGATGTCCAATAATGCGTAAACTAGATTCGCTAATTCCTACGGTCTTTGGGGGTTGCGAGTCTTAATGATTAGAATCAAAAATCTCTCCAATTTGTTATTTTCATGCAAATCTCATTGACCTTGCTGTGAAAGTTGAAAATAAATGTCATCTCTTGTGCGAAGTATTTGACCTGATAGTCTTTCTTCGCCATTTATGGCCTTTGAAATGTCATAAATGCCCAGTTTCATAACTGTCATCTGCGCATCACTCTTAATTAAGGAGTTGTAGTCGAGCAAACGAGCTTTTTTTTCGAATGGCTGATTAATTGCCAAAAATTTGCTCAAAGCTGGTTCCGTTTGTATTATTCTCTCTATGTTGCGGTTCAATCGAGACCGATCTAGTGCTCCTCCAGACCAGCTTCATTCTCTCTACATCCTCAGGCCTTTTTGTTGAGTCTTTTCCCTATTCTCTCTCTCCCCTTCTCTTCTCTTTTCAATTTTCTTTTCTTCGTCCCTTTTCTCTCCCACTTGCTCTCACCACCAACCAACCAGGAATCGATATGCGCTTTTGCATAATCAGGCCATCCACACCAGAGAGTATGCTGTTGTGTCTCAGCTGTCATGTTCGTGAAACATAACTTTCAACCATATTGCCATGAATGAGTTCTTACCTGTCAAATCGAAAGGGAAACTTTTCCTGTATGCGTTATTCTTTGCTTAAGATTGCTCCAATTTTGGGTTTTTAATTCATTTTCAAACTTTTAAGTGGTATGTTGCGCTATTTGAGAGCTTCTATTCAAATTTAATTCTTGTTAATGGGCTCAAACTTTACTCTTAAGCAAAAAATGTTTAAGGAGAGTTCGTTGGAGGGCTCAGAACCTGCTAATCATTTTATGGGCCTTGCTTAGTTGTGGAGGGGGAATTCAGTTTGCCTGATTAAGCAAACGGGATTGCATACATACACATATTCATATATAACATACGCATTCCATTGTGTCTTTGGGAATTGGCATAAAATAAACTCGCACTTGTCTTCGGACCGTAGTTCCGTTTTTTGCCTTGCAGAGCTCTTCACCCTTATATTACTAATTTCACTCTCTCTTTTTGCTCTAATCGTATAATGCATGCATAGAAAGCCTAGATTTATTTATCTGCTTAATCTCCTCATTTCTTTTCTTCTCCTTCTCAGTGTATGTGTGAATTCTTCAAGCTGAAAAAGAATGTCTTTGTCGGTTTCCTTTTCATTCGTTTTTCTCTTTGTCTCGTAGTTTGAAACTGCTGATTTAACGTTAGCTTGTCATCTGTATAGTATGTATGTAACTGCACCATCGAAACAGTGAAGCTTTTATGGATCTATCTTTCACACCCTCTTTCCGTTTTTGCATCTACCCACCTCATTTTGTTCCTTTGTGAGTATGGCGAAATCGAAATGGCAGTAATCTTGGCGTGGCTTCACTTTGTAATTAGGTGGGCAAGTAAAAGTATAAGAAGAGACCAAGGGAGTCTAAGAGAGGCGGTCCTACGCTAGGGGAGGGCCTAACCCATATTTAAGCTTCCACAATCCAATGGTTAACTCTAAACATTGTGCTCCCTCATTTGCCAACACAATTATATCTTCACATAATTTGTTCATAAATATACATATACATATACTTTGAGTTGATTGATTAAAATTCCAGGAAGAATCAGGAGGGTCCAGTTCAATGCAGATGACTTCAGATGGAAACACGAGCGAAGCGCCGTCTCTCACAGCTGACATCAAGTCTGAAGATATGAATGCAGATGTTGCAGCGCTTGTTGCCAAGATGGTAGAAGAGGAAGAAAAACCGAGGTTTGTAAGTTTCTTATCTTAAAAGACTGTCAACATTTGGCAAATAATTTCAACCCTTTCAAAAACATGGACATAACTTCTGTCACTTTGAATCACAGTGCCATATGCCTGCTTAAAGTGCAGGGGTCTGGTTTTCAATGACAGTTTGTCTTCAAAAAATATTTACATCCTTCCCCGTATTCGTATAACTTATGTAGATTATTTGAATTGAGCTTGGCAGCAACCAACCAACCAATCTGTAATATTATCATTTCAATTTCCCTTGTCGCACATTTTTTTAATATCTCGAGCGTAGTAGTAGCTTCCTTGTACCAGAAGGTATAACAGCTGAAATTGAAACAAAGCACTTTTTTTGGGCTCGTTTTCGACATTGGTCATAGCTTAAACTCATGGACATTTGCATAAAGCTAACCCCTAGGCTCTTCTGAAAAGATCAAACCGGAACAAAGGAATTTCAGTTTCTTTGGAATCTTAAAGCTTTCCATAGTGCAGGCTTGCTTCATGAACCGAAAAAAATGACAATTACGTCCAGTTGAGCTTTAATTATATTTCATTCTATAATCGGAAGTATAATAACTCGAAGTATTAACTATAAAAACCATTTTTCGATATAGGAAAGTGGGATAGCACGATTTTACTTTCGAAATTATGTTTCGTTAACTTACACAACGCACCTTTGGCTTAAGCAGACCTGTAGTACCGGGGAGGATAGATTTGCTAATTTTTTCAAAATCAATGTTGTGTCCAAATTGATAAATCTGAAAATAGATAGCGTGAATAGTAGTGTTGTTGTATTATAATCGGCTCATTTCAATTATATAGGGTTTATGCATGCATCCCAGATTTTCCTTTCCCACGTCGCCATCAGTCTGATGCCGTTCGAAATTTTGTTTAATTATTCTATACAATGGTCTGTTTTTGTATATTTCCACAATGAGAACAGTCTAGGCTCATCCAAAGTTTTGTACATCTTTCCACCTCACATTAGACGTATTAGACGTATAAACAAAAGTTTTGTGCCAACATCTGGCCATCCATATAACTGTCGTTCATCCATGTTGAACAGACAATAAGACGTTCGTCTATCTAAACATCAAAAAACGAATCCCTGATTTCATTTCTTTACTAACTCATCTATTTTGCAGCATCAAAACTGAGGACTCACCATCAATACCGGAAATGGAACAAGCTGAAATGATGAGGCGGTTAGCGGAGATGTTTGCTGCTGGTGCTGCCAACAGTCTCCCTGTAACACCTACTTCACCTCCTTCCTCAACAGCTACGTTACACTCCTTATTAGCTGCTGCAGGCGTATCACCTCCCGTTTCAAATGGTTAGTTGGCAATTTCCTCCAGGGCAAATTTGAATTTTAAAAAATTCGATGGTGCTCAATCTGTCCTTCCCGCGCTTTTAGCACTTTGAGCTTTTGGCTAAGCCGACTGCAGCGTTGCGAAATACCTTTTCCTAACAAATCTTTTGTCAGGTTCACCTATGGAAGCTGTTGCTGCCTCTCCTGCACAAGTTATGGCTACAGATCATCTCACATCGGAAGGATTTCTTCAGGCCATATTATCATCAAATATGGCTCATTTAGGTATCTTGTAAACTCGCAATGATTAATCGAACTATTCTTTCACAGTAGGTAATGCTGCAACTCCAGCTTCAACAACAACCAACTTCTCGTCATTACTTTCAAATTCTTCATCTGTCAGTCCGGCGGTTAGAAACGTTTCATTATCAGCTCTTTTAATGTTCTGTTTTCCAGGAACCCTCTACTACACCCACAAATTCTTCTGGACAAGGTTTAAATAACAGAGGGCCTGTGAAAAGGAAACTTTTTGAGAATAGTCGTGATGTAAGCTATTCTTCTTTGTCTCCTCGTTATCTTCATCATCTAGATGCTTCAAAAGGCAGTAACATCTATCTCTAATGAAGAAAGGAAAGATATGGGCGATCTTGAAAATTTCGCTCAAGTGTTTAAAAAACAACGCATAAAATTTGGTAAGACTCTAGTTCATGAACAGTTTTTATTCCTTCTTCAGGGTTCACCCAAGGAGATGTTGGTGTTGCTCTTGGAAGAAGGTATGGTACTGATTTTTCTCAAACTACGATCTCACGCTTTGAGGTAAAGTATACACCTCATATATTTAAGCTCATCGTCATCCTTTCAGGCACTAAATTTATCATTCAAAAATATGTGCAAACTAAGGCCTCTACTAAAGGTTTGTTCGGCTTCTGATCCTATGACAACGTTGATCCTTTATAGGAATGGCTTTCTGATGCTGAGAAAGCGATCGCTAATGGTGCTTCTTTAAACGATCTTCTAGACAAACCCGGTGGACAGCGTCAAGTGAGTTAGAACCACCTTCTTCCGTTTAAATGGGTTTCCTTTCAGTTACAGAGTGACGATGATAGTAATATCATGAGTTCGGGTACCAATCGTGAACCATATGTCAAAAGACGAAGGAAGCGAACAAATCTTGATCTTTCACAGGTTTGGATTCGCATTTGTTCTTTTTTTTTAATATTTTTTTTGTTCAGCGAACCACATTGGATGCCTGTTTCGCTGTAAATCCTAGACCTGACCACGAACGTATGACGGAAATTGCTGGTTTATTGGACTTAGATCGAGACGTATGTTATTCAATTAGAACACAAACTACATATTCGTTTGCAGGTAGTACGAGTGTGGTTTTGCAATCGTAGGCAGAAAATGAGAAGGTCTGATGATCCTGAAGGTGGAGATAATAATGTGCTGTTGAATTCACTAAAAGTATGTGGGATGAGTAGTGTCTCATTAAGTATTAGGAATTTCAGGCGTTGGCTCAGGTGAAAACTGAGGATGGAGATACCTCAGCTGCCCCCTTATAGAGTGCTGGTTGTCTTTATAGACGTTTTAAATTACCTCAAATTCGGTTTTCCAACTTTTCCCACTTGTACATGATTCTGAACGAATCAAACAATCCCACATCGTTGTCATAGCGTGATCATCACCATGAGAGCTTTCGCTTCATGTCTGGTTGGCTCGGAAGACTGAATTGCTTTTATATAATAATCAATGATTTAGTCAAGGCTAGAGCTGGAACCAAGTCAGTGTTTTTTTCTAGAATTTTAATATGTATGTAATTATGTAAGGATTGTATCTTAGTTGGATAGTTTTATAACGTGTTCATATTTTCCCGAGTATAGTTGCTTGCATTCGCTCATGCACCCATATTTTGCATTTTAAGATTTTTTGGATTATCCAAATTTACCAATAATTCTAACAGCCAGGCCAGTGGCAGCCAAATGAGCATTTTTGGGTCTACCTGAGTAATATCTTCATTTGGAGTGTCATTCTTCGTTTGTTTATTTGTTTCTTTCTAATTTTGTTATTTGAGGATTTGAACAGATCCTTAGAAATCGACACAAAGAATGGACCAACCAAGCTCATGCTGACTCGCACTCCATGTGAAGACGCTAGCGTGAACTTGGTCATTCTTTCTCCGAAATTTTTGATTGTAGAAACTTGTGTTTCCACTCTCTCTCAACAGTCTCCATTTCATTCAATGATTTTTATCAAACACGTGCGTTGAGCACATCTGTACATTTTGCCTTTACTGCCCCGGACTGGCTAGAATATTATATTTTTCGTTAGGAAAAGACCTCATTTGCCTTCTGAGACTTGAGAAAATCATTTATTTCTCTTAAATATCTTTCTTTTTGTCATATTTTATGCTGCCGATTCGTGTTTTGATCGCATTTGGCCTAGTCTTCGTGCATTTCCCTGTGCTTTTCTGAAACCCGGTTACCACTTTTCTCAATCCCGGTAATATTTATATTTTCTTTAGTTCTCTCAAAATTCCTTCATTTTACTCTCATCTGTTAGCAGCATCATCATATTTTAAGACTTTCAATTGTATTTAGCCTGCGATTGATTCCCGAGCTATCAACTTTATGTGTATTCAACATTTCATAGGGTAAATTTCTCCGTTTATATAACTTTGTTATGAGCATTGTTTGTTAATAAAGATCTTAGGTATTCTATACCTTCTTCTTCTATTCGTTTTCAACAGAACAAGCTAATCGAGGGTTTAAAACAACTGTTCAATTATCTCATGAGCTGAGATAATCAAATCATACAAAACAAGTCTGATAAGATTAATTGTAACGAGAGAGTTCTCTTTCATCCCCTGCCCGATCAATTGTAAAGCTCCAGTCTCAATTTTCAATTGCTGCAACTTGGCTGAAGTTCAATTGCTTCTCTGCTGCCATGAAGTTTGTAGCGATTTTGTGTCTGTCTCTCTTTGTGGCCACTCAAGCTGTCCCTAGGTTTACTAGAGCTTCAGAACTCGACGTCCCTTCCAATGTGCAGAACAGGTTAGACAGCTTCCTGTATGTGGGTCACAACCTTACTTAAGATCCATTTCGATCAAAGGACAATTCCTTTGTGGCACAAAGCCTTTTGATAATGTGAAAATCAGAATCTACAGAGATTACCAGAAGGACAAAGCTGATGGTGAGCAATATAGTTGAACTCTTACGGATTCATCCTTTTTCTTGAGATCTCGCACAACTGGTTAGCTCAAAGAAAGCTTTCGCTGGAATGTTCCAACTAGACGGAAACACAGCCAGGTCTGCCACAATCAATCAATCAATCGACTAGGTTTTTTTCCTAGATTCCCACCTACACAAACGGAATTCCGTCCTTACGTTACAGTTCATCACAATTGTGGACTTGATGAGAAGACTACTGCAAATGCAAGTTTTATTCTCGATGATTAACACTGGTTTGACTTTAGCAAGGTTTCAAGAGATGGCATTTCATTATCCCAGAAGAGTACGTAACAGTTGGCCTTAGACCTATCAAAGTGAGTTTCACATCAACCGCCTACCTATGAATAAGCCCCAACTTCAGAAATACGACTTGGGCATCATCAATCTCCAAGTACTTTACCCCGGCGAAGCACACGACAAGAAATTCAACATGCTCGATCAATAAATTTGAGAAAATTTGATAAGGCTTAAACCACAATAAAAACAAAAGAATTATAACCAATGTTTATTGACATGTTTGTGAACGGGTTTGGGCGGGACGGAGAAAAGGAATGGAGAAGGACTGCCAAAACAGACAACTAAGTCGGACAGGATATTTACCTGAACGATGCATTAGATATTACTGTATAAGAACAAAGCGGGATCACAAATCTCTCTCGCTCACACATGTTTGTAAATTTCTGTTTGTAACTATGCGATATACATAATACTACAACAACTCTATAAATTTATCAGACTAAAAACAACTCTCACACGGGACTCGGGAGATAACAACGATGAGCTATAAAGATATAAAGAATAACAAATGAAATACTCGTCATCATCGAGAGCAGCTTTATCAAAGGAAATATACAGAAAGTATAGAATTTTGGGCGCGCGCGGGGAGTTAACCAAAAATAAAACAATTATTATAATACAACAAATCGCGCAAAATTTCTGGCGAACTGTTTCAGCGACTCTCGCAACGACACGACGAGGGGGGCCACTCTCTCACAAATTCGCAACCCGACGAGAAGAGTTGGAATACATCACATATCCAACTGTTCTAGTTTTATCCTCTGCATTATTAAGGGAATTCTAAGTACTATATTGTAATGCAGGGACCTGAGGGCATATTCGAGCACACTTTTCAAAGCGAAAGAGAAATCAGAATTCAAGACTGAAGAGCAAAACGGTTCCAAGACTAGCCATAGGCTTCGGTGAGTAAAGAACGAAATGAGGAAGGTGTTCACAATACAAATGTAATAAACTAACTGCAAGAAAAGAGAGGCGTTTACTTGAAAGTCCATCCTTCTTTGGGGACAGGAGCACTTCCTGTGGGGTCGAATGAAAAACCTTCTTCACCGCCATTTTCATCATCAGAATCAGAACTGAAACAAATAAAAGTGAGTGGGATTGAGAAAAATTATGACTCACCTGAAGAATGTATCAATGATTTCATAAGTGAGTTTATAGATATCTTCATTTTCATGATTTTGAAGATGTTCAATTTTGTCAAGTCCACCGCACTCTTCGATTTGGTTACAAACTCCTTCCAAGTTATCTCCGGCCAACTTCAAGATATTATTAATTCCATCCAATACAACTTGGATTATTTGAGGGTCTTTGCATCCCAACAATGCACAGAAGGGTCGAATAACTCCGGCTTTAACCATGTAGCAAACTTGGTCAGCTTTACCAGAAATGGTTACATTCGAAACAGCCCAAGCGGCTTCCTACAATTGAAGACATTCATCAAAATTACTTTGAAACGTCACGTACCTTCTGAGTGTGGAAATCTCCCTTATCCAAGAGTGAGATGATCATAGGTAGAAGTCCAGCATCAATAACTGCTTGAACTTGCATTTGATTACCAGCGGTGATATTGGAAAGGAACCAAACAGCCTCCTAAACTAACAAATCAAAAAAGCATCCACATAACAAACAACTACCTTATTAATTTTCTCTTTGTAATGAGAGAGAAGAGCAGGCATCTCGGAAAGGACATTGCAATCGAGTACAAGCTGGGTTTGCTCATCTGTTCCGGTTACAATGTTTCCAACAGCTCTCAAGGCAGCAGTTTGAACTTTCACATCGCTGTGAGCTAACATGGGAACAAGAGCAGGCACAACCTATATTATTATTTGATCATTATTAAAGTGCTATGAAAAAATACCTCGCTTTCAATTACAAGTTGAATCTGATCATTACCTCCGTCAGTTAAGTATGACAGCGCCCAAACGGTGTCGACAAGAATGTTGGTGTCCTTGGAAACAATGATTGAAAAACGGATAACAATATTTTCTTACTTCATGATGAATAAGAAGAACCAAAGCAGGAAGAATACTTTTGACGATTTCTGGAGATGGAGGTGGCTCCTTAGACCGGCAGAGGTTAACCTGAGCAACGATTTTCTATAAGTGCATACTAAGTACAACTTACAATGACCCAAGTGACATTTCTTAGGAATCCAAGAGGAATATCAGGATTAATAAAGTTCAGGAGTGGTTGTAAAATACCCAACTGCAAGCAATAATCACGGAAGTGTGGTCCATCTCCTGAAATTAGAAAATCACGGAAAAGAACATTTTTAATTACGAACCTATAATATTTCCCAAAGCCCATACGGCTTGTTCGCACACATTCATATTTCCACTGGAGAGAAGGTTGAGAAATCGTGGAACAGCACCAGAGTTAACCTATCACATGAAAATAACTAAAGAAAACAAAAGTTTCACATACGACAGCTTGAGTTTGATCAGAAGTTCCAGAGGCAATGTTCGTGAGAGCCCAGGCTGCTTCGAATTGAAGATTCACACTGAAATAATTCATAAAGTCATGATCAAAATTGAGAACCAACTCTGTGTTATCCAAACATGTCACTAATACAGGTAAAATTCCACTGGCAATTAAATCGTCAATTGGAGGATTACGATCAGAAGAAAGCATCTTCCTAGCCTAACAAATTAACAAAATTAGGAACAAAAAAATTTTTAACGAAAACCTGTTGCACTGCAGTAAGTTGAGTGGCGATATCAGGACTTTGAGCCTTCTCAACGATTTCTCGCAGTAACTCTGTGTCGAAAGGAAAGTTTTGAGATGGTTGGAACATATCATCGCTACAAATTGACAAAGTCATTGGAAAGTTGAAAAGCAACTTACTCAGGAACAACATCCATATTACGCTTTTTAGACAATGCTTCCTCTCTCTTGTCCTTCCGGATGGTGACGGCCTTAATGAAGTAGATATATAATTAACATTCAAGCTTAATCCTAAGTTACCTCTTCTACACGATTTGTTTTTAAAATGGCATCTTTGCCTTTATTTTTGTACTGAGACATACGGGATGCGTCACCCATTTTGCCTTAAATGAAAACAAAATTAGAAAAACAAAATGAAGCTACTGAATATAATAATTAAAAATTAAAAGAAAGTTGGAGCTTATACGAAAATTCAAATGTTCGCAGAAAGTGCGGGAAATCGCTATTAGAATCATTACTATTGATCGAACGAATGAATGCATTGCGAAGACATGACTTGGAACACGGTCGTTAGAAATTGCGCTGTGCATTTCCGTGCAGGACCACTAAATGCGCCCTTTAAAATTACAATTATGAACACAGCTTATCTAGTTTTAGCCGTTATGATGATTAATATGCTAAGATCTTATATTTGTTCATACTATAAAATTGCAGAATGATCTTAATGTAGGAAGTCGTGTCAAATTCGTTATTAGAGAAAATTTTATATCTGTGATTCGTTAAACTGGCTCAATCTAAGCTCATTAATACCATTATTTTATAACAATAATGAAGGATAGGTTAAATGATCTACAGGTTTGGGCTTTCCTCTTTCCACGAGTTTATTTTCTTTCTAAGTTTAGGCAACCTTCGTTAAAAAGTCATCGATTGACGATGATCAGGAAACTGACCGTCTCATTCCGGAAGATTGGAAGGAAGTCGATGATGTTCGTTGTATCAGAAGTAGATCGTTTTCAAATTGAACGTTTAGTTTCTGGCTCACGTAACGAAAGTCAATAAGTGTTTGGAAAGATTAGAAGCACTTTTGATTTCATTAAAAAAACATCAAAACACTATTCTCAGTGATCCAGTTGTCGATCAAAGTAAGACACACCGGATAGTTTCCATGACATCTGTCGGTTTACAGAATGTTTCCAACAGTTCGATGAAATGAATGCTACCTTTTGCGATGAATGCAAAATGGTCAACAAAGATGTCAACGGTAATCATTCATAACAAATAGTTTGTCCTATTTGGACCGAATTGTTACAGCTTTGGACAGAGACGCGGAGAAGGCTGTAGCCCCTTCTGCTGAGAGTAGAATCAAGAAAAGTCAGATGATCACTCTCAAAAAGAGGCTTTCTCAAGTGGTCACTAAATATCATTCTGACCAAATGGAATACCAGGAGAAATTGAAGAAAATCACTTTGCACACTTTGGAAATAAGTCAGTGTCATTTGAAAGTTCCGTCTACTCACGTCAAGTTTTCAGAAGGGTTTAAAGACGTCACCGAAGACGTTGTAATGGCTGCCATTGAAAGTGGTGATCTTAGTGGATTAACCAAAGGAGTTAGTTTTAGTTGTTAATGGAAAATATATCTTGTTAATGTTCAGTTAGTCCTTGGGGAAGCCGGTAAGAAAGCTTTGTATGAGGAAGTCAAAACTCGAAGAGATGAGTTGAGAAAGCTCGAAGACAGTGTAAGGGAGTTGCATGACCTTTTCCATGACTTGTGTCTGTTAGTTCAAAGCCAGGTGAGTTGTTAATTGAAAGCCTTGCCGCATGCATATCCGTCTAGGGAGATATGATCGATAACATCGAAGCCAATGTAGAAGCTGCCGGAGAGTATGCTAATAAAGCAAAAGCGAACGTGATTGGAGCAAGAGAATTGCGGAGAAAAGCGAACAAGGTTGGTATAATTCTCTTCGATTCAACAAACTTTTGCAGATGAAAATATTCATGTGCTGTGGTCTGACAATCTTAGTCATAATCTTGTTTATTGTTTTACAAGGACTAGTCTGTCATTTCACACCAATATGCTGAAGCTTTAGCTCTTTGTGATTCGAAGACGAATTGTTGCCTCGCCTCATGTACTTTATGGTAAAACGGATTATGATCTCTCATAACTAACTTTTTAAATATTTTATAAGCTACTTATATATTTCATATCACTTAGTGAAACTAGAAAGTCATTATTGTTAACATTTGTTGTTTAAAATGCTTGCGTGCCTGATTTTATATTGTGATTTTAAAATAGTATATCACCCAATAAACCTAATATCAGTTGGATTCTTGCTATCACGGGATGGAACCCTATTTATACTTATCACTTATGTTTCCCAATAGTTTTTAATATCTTACAGTATGGCAGGTTATGACCCGAGTACAGTGATTTCAATAAAAAATGATTCTGACACTCCGGTAAGATCATTTGGGCATGAAAGAAAGCGGGCTTATCCTATTCTTCAGGTTCTCATTCCCAGGCGGATACCACAATCATTACATGAAGCAAGAGTTCTGAACTCTTCTGTAAGAATTGAAGCTGGACGTTATCGTGTAACTTCTCCTCCTCCGTGTGAGTTTTAGAATTCCGGATTCTTATCAGTATTGATATCGTTTGTAGTCGCTGTGTCTTCTTCCATTGGTGAAGTTAACCGAACCCGGAAAACCATTAACCGACCTTATGAAGGGCAAATGTTTGTATTGAAATCTCCCATGAGGTGTTGAAAGAGTCATTAAGGATGAAGGCAGAGACGTCATTCGTGAAAATTGTCGATCTTTTGCCTGGGAAGACAAAACGGAGGTTTTCTTTATCAGTGTTTATCAATACAGTGAAGTCGTTGAAGGGTTTATTTCAATGAGGATGAAGAGGAACCTCTGGAAGAGATAAGCAGTCCTAAAAAAGTAAGATTGATAAAACGGTTTAAGAAATATGAAGGTTCGTATATTAGAAATTCCGAGAGTTTGCAAAAGTTGTTTTGAAGATCCGTCTATGCCAGGGACAAGTATGTCCGACGCTAAAGATCATACAGAACAAATAGAGGAAAGTGAAGTGGTTGTCAGTGATAATCAAGTTAGGTAACCCAACTTTTGTCATACAACTCTTGAGCATCCCTCTCCTATTACAGGAAGTCCGTTTTAGAAGAGCAACATGAACAGCAATATGTTGAGGAAGTAGATGTAATCGAAGAGGAAGGGTCAGTGATCCTATATAAGCAATCATGTAACCATACCTTTCAGATCTGTAGTGGGAGGTTACATGGGGAACTATAATGAAACTTCAGTCCCTGTCCCAAGACTCCATCCCATTTCTATAGGGAACGTAGCCCTAGTTAAGCAGTTACGGGGAGAAAATAACTATTTAAAGGATCAACTGGATGCCAGTTTTTATAGGTTTGTTTCTTCGCTATGACAAGTCTTATCCGTCTTTCATTGCAGGATAAAGCAGTTGGAAGCTCTTCTTGTAGAACGAAACCAACGGTTGAAGCAATTGCTTCGAGAAAATGTAACCTTGGGTGTTAAAATACGGAAATTAACAGCTGAAATTGGTACAGAAACAGCTGAGACAATCATGTGAGTTAATTACGATTTCTTCAATAATCATAATTTTCTTTGAAGGAATTCATAGTATGGCTTGTCCACCATCAAATTCAACTCAATCTGGGATAAATGAAACTCATAATATTCAAAATAAAGACATCGTTTTAGTACTCAACATATCTTAGCTGTGTTGTAAACACATGAATACCTTATTTGTATCTTGCATTCGTCTCTTCTACTTTTTTTTCAGCGATTTTGTCTTTAGACGGAAATGTCCAGCGAAACTAAATGTGAGTTTGTTGTTCTCTCTGCAGGCATTATGGTTTTCTTCTTCAGACAACGAGTTTGGTGGATGTGATGGACCTGATGCAGCATATGTAAAGCTTGTGAGCAGTGACGGGCATGAATTTATCATCAAAAAGGTTTTTGAACTATTAACTACCGAACAACTATCCATATGTTCTTTAAGGAATTAGCATTGACATCTGGTACGATCAAAGCAATGTTAAGTGGTCCAGGACAATATGCGGAGAATGAAAGCAATGAAGTAAATTTCAGAGAAATCCCGTAAGACTTTTGAAATCGTCCGAAACAAGATTGTGTTGTTCCAGATCTCACGTTCTTCAGAAAGTTTGTCAGTACTTCACTTACAAGGTCCGGTACACGAATTCGGCTACCGAAATCCCAGAATTCGTGATCAACCCCGATGTTGCACTAGAGCTTCTTATGGCAGCCAATTTCTTGGATTGCTAATGTTTATGTAAGGTTATGATGATATATTATTTATACATGAAACTAAATCCTCAGTATCTTCATAATTTCGTATTTTCTCATTTAAGACGATCTTGGAACGTTCAAGATTATGTTTCCGTACTTGTATAAGATTTTGCAATGATAAACGTTTGAACAAGATCTGTTCTGTTACATCTTTATTTGAACCTACTGACTTGTAACATAGTATGAGACAATTCATTCAGCTCATCATTGAACACTCGGTTTTCATAAACAAAAATGCGCAAGCGAAACAAGCTTTTGCCAGGTACCAAAAAAGAAGAATTAGTTTAGTACTACATTCATTCACAAAACAAATTATCAAAAAAACTGAAATAGCGAGGAATAGTAAGGCCGTATCTGATTCAGATCGAAGTGACTCCGTCTAGACGGTAGCTGAAACAAATGTCTTCTGTTCTTCAGTCAGTCTTCCGGACACTTACTTAATAGTCAAGACTGACCAAGTATTTAACTAGATTTTCGATAGCCTCACGAACGGCGGCGGAAACTTGGTTTTCTCCTTCATAAATAGCAATCACAACAGCTGAAATCACAGAAGACTAAATGGAAGAAGTATTCTGAAGCTTCAAACCTTTATTGGACTTTCCAGCGAAGAATCCACACTTATCCTTCTTTCCAAAGATGAGGTTGGGCTCAGTTCGGGGAACAATGTAATGGATATTCTCAAGATCAGCTCCAGTGGAAGGAACGCTATCGATGTTATCGAAGAGACTAACGAACTTCTTTAATTCCGCATCGGTAGCCTGCAAGAAGAAACCATTCCGAATTGTAATAAGCGAATATAATAACATTTGTCCATAGCTTAATGAGCATTGGAAGAAGCTGTTGCTGCGCTAATATAATTCAAACAATCGCTTCATTACCCATGCTGAGGTCCTACTCTCTCTCCCCTCTCTTATACTTCAGTGACAGATGGTTAAATAGCCCTTACATCGTCTGTCTACCGGATCAAACTAATCAAAAGAAAATCCTACATCTGGATATCCGACGGTGCAATTCGAAGATTAAATCTACTTCTCTAATCAAAAATCAAATCTGTACAATGAACCCCCAAGACAGATGAAGGGTAGAACAATCCCGAGTACAAATAAAGTAAGTGAAAAGTACCTTGAATGTGTTGTCTCCACCAGTTCTAGCCCACACAGCTCCGTCGGTTCCTATAATTCCAGCTCTCTTGATAGCAGGAGAAGCACCGGTAAGACTGGTGATATAAGCGTCCCAACCAGACATTTTCTAAAGTGCGATTATATATATATATAAATATATGTTGTAAATATGTGTAACGAAACGAAGACAGTATCTCAATCCATATACGTCAATACGAACGTGACATATGAATAATGATGTTCGAGAACAAGAAGGATTTATAATCAATGATTTTGAATCAACTGCATTATAAAAACAAAAGAGAATTATCAAATATGGGCAAGGCCACACAAGTGTCAAAGAACGGAACATCAATAACGATTCACTTACTCAAAAACACACAACAGATTCTGGTTAATTGATCACAAATACCGCTTTGATTCGTTTACTCACAACCCTTTAAAAAACAAGACCATGATCACCCTGCACATCTAAGGGGTTACTGTACTTAGAGCCTACGTAAGGTTCCGTTACTTAATAAAATCAGAAATTCCAAAAAATAAACAAGTAAAGTGATCATTGACTGGGCTTTCTCTCGTGGAAACTGCGAGTTCTGCGAAAACAGCAGATTGCAGAGAGATAGGCTTGAGATAGTGATTCTGTGCGCGCACTTTTTCAAATTAATTTCTCTAACTATTGAGTCCGTATTCATGCCATTAAATTTAGCCTTAGATACTACTGCAGACCTGACGAAATGACTCGAAAAGCTAGAGTTCACGCCAGCTTCTACCTTCCACCTCTTAATATCTTCTAGCTTGATAGCAGCTACCTCTGATATTCTTTTGCCTGATGATAGGGCAAGTAATGTGGCAGTTTTCCAGGATAATGTATATCTGTCAAGGTGTCGATTAAGAGACAGTTCCTGAGAAAATGTGATCAGAACCTGAGGATCCCACATCGCCTGATGTCTAACTCGTGTGGGGTTCAGTCTGAATGCCCCTAGGCAAAGAGTTTTGAGCAACGGTGCTTCTCTCAACGGAGGACAAGAAGTAAGTCACCCAACAGACATAATGCTGACCTGTGCTTCTTAATTGTAGCATAACTCTTATTTTTTTGTCTGTAGTGATGCGAGATAGCACGGAGTTACATTAAAATCGATCTTTTCTCTTATTTATTCAAGAAGGTTCCATTTTAGGATTAACAAGAAAACGTTGACGGACACGATTCAATAAGCAGATTGAGCTCAAACCGTTGACATAGTCGATAGAAAGCCCGTATGCTTTGTACAAAACGGTCATAAACTCAATAGATAACCGAGAAACTCAAATGAATACCTAATAAGTAACTAATACTCAACACAAAGGCAACAGCAGCAAGCCGTCCAAGCAACCCAAACAAAGAATGGCGAATAGGGGAAGTTTCAAGGTTTACTCGCTTGCTAGAGCATACAATCGGTAGAGGATGTGGTTTTCATCCAATTGTAGCTCATTCATCATACTAGGAATGAAAACACAACATTACACCCACTGTGTATTTTAAGCCAACAGTGTTTTGACAGTGACGGCACGTTTCTTTTTTTCAAAATGGCGCGTAGTTAATAGTCCTGAGACGCTTGTGGAAACACTAGCACGTCATTTGTGCAAGCACTCCGAAAATGCCACCAAAACCAAAATTGTTTTCAATCGGCTGGTTTTTTTGCTCCGGAGGTCTCAGTTCATTCGCGTTGTTTTGTGAAATGCATCGGGGAGATACTGGAGAGAAATAAACAAAGCAACTCTGGAATGGTTTCCAATCACTCTCGTGGAACATTCCGGATTGGAACGACATGCATTCACAGACATGTAACAGTATCGCACGAACTCATCTAGCTTTTGCGGACACAAATGGATTCCGCGTTCACTTTCATGAGAGTCCAGACAAGCTAAGCATCTTCGAACATAATGGCAAGCTTTGTGTCGCATGTAGTGACAACATGTGTACATTTTGAGAAGAAAACTGTAGAATCAGAGAAATAGTTCATTGCACTTTCCCAATGCTATCGTTCGAGGGGAAAACTTTCGAAAACGTCTTGAAGAGCGAGTTTGAAAAATGAGGAATCACACTGAACAGTATATTCTGTATTCATACTGATCACTTTCTTATAAAATTCTTTGTCGAGGAGAAGAGGATCGTCACCCAATTTCAGGCACGAGAATAGGGTGAGGTCCACTTTTTGCGGACAAGGAGGGCTAGACTGTTAGACAACAAGGATCAACAGCGCCAATATACAGATTGTCACACTATAAACCGCATTCTTCTCCACAAGTTGCGTTGAAAATGGGACAAAAGAACGGTAACCATAGATGAAGACACAAAAACCAAATTTTGAGTTGAATAAAAAACGTATACGAGTCACAAGAAAAGTAATACACAACTGACATTGAGGAAGGAAAACAAGGAACAGAGTGCGCGCCTGGCTGAATGATCTGTCACAAGTATACGCTAGCCAGGGTCATGGGCGGGACCAATCAATATATGGACACAATTACTGTTCTATGCGCTGCTGCTGCTGCTGCGAGGTAACAGAGATGTCTTAGTTGAAGAGAATTGACTGCAAAACACAATGGGACAAGCAAACAGGAAAATAATGACCACGACCGTGCGCCAAGGTTCCTGCGCACTACTTAGATTCGCAAAGCGAGGCGCGTCATTCGTCATTACAGTACTGCATGAAAAGCAGAGTTTAACATCTTCTGAGCTTTATTCTAATTACAGAACGCCATAAGCTTACAGACACACTGGCGCTTGGATCATACCAATCTGACGCTTCAAGAACTATACGCCGGCAAATCATCAAGCATGTTCGCCTTGCCTGTTCTGCTGAATAAACTTTCGAATGATTCATGAACTCGAGCCCTTCTATTCAACAGAGCAGAGGAGTTCGATGTGGATGAAAGTGAAAATTGAAAAGGAATTGAAGAGACCATGGATGGTTCATGAAGATTGGTTCAAGATTTTTCACTTCTCAATTAGGGGCACAGCACAGGTCCATGAAGTATTTGAAGTCTTCGAGAACCATTATATAAACGTAATGTTATAAAAGGATCATCACAATGATGGAGGACTCGTAAGAACACGAAGAAGAATCCGAAAAAAGGAGGACACCCTCATAAGAGGATAAGCGTTTCTAGGCGCATAGTACATGGTGTTAGTGAGAGACTACAAGGTATAAGAAGTGGTAATTATAATTAACTGATTATAAAGACTTAAGAGAGGATTTGGTTATTCGAACGAACGTCGAGAGAAAAGTGTTGCTATTAAGGCTCGCGACTTGAAATGAACATGGAGAACGATTTAAATAGGAATGATGAGTCAGCAGCACGCGTAAGAAAACAATGTTGATGACTATGGGATGAGTAGTGGAATTTTCAGCAAAAAGCTTTGAAGAATCAAAATATTAAACTTTCATAAATTCACAAATGGATAGCGGTTTTCAGGAACATTCATGAGGAAGCATCGATTGACGGGACGTTTCGAAATACTCGGTTGGATTTTAAACAATTTTCGCGCCAAAATTAGAAACAGAACGTTGCGTAAGTTTTTAAGCAATTATATTGGTTAGTGGCGAGACATTCACTATAAGTGTTCGAAACATTCGTCAGCAGGAAGTTTATAACGTGGGCCGTACTTCTTATCTCTACGACAGAAAAAAAAATTTTCTGGGACTGTTTGATATGTCCAGCTTCATGTTTACGGAACCGGCTTCACCGCTTTCCGAATGAAAAGTTCGCGCAATTCAAAACATACATGTTGACCGACGCCTGGTTATGCCTGGTGTGACTGTTTTTTATAGAGTCTGATGCTTGGGACTGAATAGGATAGCAAACAGGGTTAATTCAGTTCTAGCTCGAGATGCTGAAGATGCGTATTGATTTTACTCCTCACGCGATAGGCTTGTTTCATCATAAGTGCTGGTTAGGGTTAGTCATCCGATTTGCTTACAATGGCCTGCGCTCATTATTTCGCAATTTTATAACCAAATGGTAGAAATTAGATAAGTCTTCTGCGCGTTCAAGCTGCGTAGGAAGTGATGAGTAATCCGTCTTTTTAAATGACAGTAGCAGGGTAGTTAAAACGGACATGATGGTCATTTGGTAGCTTCGAGCGCTTTCTCTTTATATGCTAATCTACACCCTTATTCCATGAGAGGGATATGAATCTTAGGTATTCATAAATGAATACAATCGACAATTACTTGTCATAGTTCGCATTCAAATGACAAAACTCGTATACAATTTCATGAGAGTTCGTTGACATTTCACAACGAGCAAATTGTCATAAAGTATAGGAGAACCAAGAAAACATGGTTTATCTTCAGCCTGTAAACAATAGTACATCCTACTATATACCAATTTTATATTTAAAAAAACATTATTGTTGAATAGAACAGTCAAGAACCAATATAGTTCTTGATTCCGTAATTTCGATTTAATAAGTTCCAGCGAAAGCGTTTACGTAATCTGCGTTGCTTACGTCGGCCGCTTTGATGACGTAGGTTACGTGGTTGCGTGCTTCACGGGCTTCACGTGCTTCACGTGGCTCACGTAAGTGTACAGCATAGTGTGTTAGATCATTAATAGACAATTGAAACATAGAGCGGTCGCATTCACTCCTCCAATACTTGGGAGTAATTGTTCCACTAAGTACGTACTAACAGTATTTCGACACTTAAGCGAACGGTGTCAGTAATCGCGTATAATTTATCTTGAAGCGAATATAAAAACAAATTATTTCGTTATAACCTACAGTCTGTAATTTCGCGTATTTCATTGTTTATATATTCGATATGTTAATTGTGAAATTCAATTATAAAGACCCAATGATTTTGTCCGCCAAAAATTTAGTCTAATTAACTCACAACTGGTGTGCGCGCTCCTATGTGGGTGGTTACCTGAAACAATCAGGTTTCATAATTTACTTTAGTCTAAGTTCATTTTAGTTTAGTGCTCACATGATGTGGCAGTCTTCCTTTATCTTCTTATCTTTTAATCTTTTTATCTTTTTATCTTGTTATCTCGTTATATCTGAATGTTCTCATAATTTTGAATTTATAGCGGTATGGCTAGATTCCCGACGAAGAAGACTAAGGACCCAAATGCTCCCAAAAAGTGAGTTATTAGTTATGATATACTTAGTACAAGCTTTGCAGAGGGTTGTCGGCTTATTTCCATTGGTTGAAGGAAAATCGTGGACGTGTGCAAAAAGACAATTCAACTTTGAAACCAACAGAGATCGTGAAAAAGTGTGCCGAGGAGTGGACCAGCCTTGCTGACAAAGACAAAACCGTTCGTTTTGTTCTAAGATTTGATCTTGAATTATACTCTTTTAGAAGTGGCATGCCATGGCTGCTGACGATAAGATTCGCTACTTGAAGGAGTTGGAGAGTTACAAAGGAAAAGAAGAGAAAAAAGAATAAGTAAGAATTAGAGTTCCTTTATGCTTGGACCGAGATGTTAAAATATCTGTGAATGCTTTTATTAAATGTTTTGTTTTGTTACCAGTGCACGACTATTTATTGAACATATCAGCCACATTGAACTTTACTAAAGAATGTTATATAAAACGCTCCTAATAACCATATGGGCACCCAGTTGCATGGAAAAGCCTTCAATTTTGTTATTTTAAGACTCTTGTCGTGGAATTCTTACTTTTGAAACGGTGCTCTCCCGAAATTGCCCATTTTTGCCAATTAGACGACGTGTTTACAGTGACAAACGGCATTGTTTATATAACGTTTCTTTATTTTAGTGCCTTGCTCAGGGGCGGCTCCCTAAAACCTAACTTGATGTTTTTTTTTTGAATCTGCCCTTCGCTCTTGCGATGTTTTCTTTTCGCTTATTCGCTAATAAAATCCTTTCAGATCACTAGGATGTTGGTTGTGATTCAAGCAGTAATTAAGTTATTCCGAGCAGACTTTCAGGTAATTAGGATTGGTTTTTTCCTTTCAATTATCTGAGGGATAGAGAAATGGATAGAGTGGCCTGAGCTACTAAAAGCCTAGCTTTGAGTTTAGCTGGCTAATATTGATAGTAGATCTGTCCTTACCCAAGCATGAGGCGAAGGCTCATTTGCTGTACTGATACTTCCACTTGGCTCAGCTGGCCCTCGCATAGATTCCTCATTTCATTGTTATATTTCTGATTCAAATTGGAGAACTTTGAACAGTTAAACGTAACACTTGTGCTGTCGTCGCCTTTTAGTTTCCTTGTGTTTTTGTAAGCTTTACCTATTTGGGATGTGCACGCGTTTTGAAATTATTAATTCAGAAAACAGCTCTCAGCATAACCAGACTAATCGAATTAAATTCTATTAGCGAATTTTGAAGATCAATGATCGTTTTAATGAAAAGAAGCTTTCAGCTTCATTTTTTGCGAATGGACAATTTTATTAGCTTTCTATATTTAAGGTTTTTTAATCTTCCGCTCATGATCAACCAGTCTGTTAATTTTCTGTTTTTCCATCATTTGCACTCATTTATGCGGCTTTACAAAGAAACAGATCTTCTGATAGAAAAAATAAAAGCGTAAGCCCCATAAGTTGTTTTTTTGGTGGATGGAATAAGAAGTTCTAAAATACAACCGTTCATCATGTCTACATCATCGAAAATGAGAGCTGTCGGTTTGACGTGGATCACGCGTTGTAGACATATTCTTATTTTGAATTTGAATTTCGGGTGTGCATGAGCCAGGTTTTTGTCAGTGTTCCATGACATTACAACTTGGTGTCTACAAGTTCTTCCTCTTCAAGTTCTCTATACATCAGAACATTCCTCCATTCCAAATTCAACTTCTGTATTATTTGAGCATATTCTACTATTAATTGAGAACTTTTTTTTATCAATTGTTTTGCTCTTCGTGAGTTGAATCGAACTAAAAAACCTTGTGTTAGATTAGTGGACTGAAGTGCTGAAATGACCATATGTTACACAAGTTGAATAGACAAGTAATGTGCTCCATAAATTGAGAGATTCTATGTCCGAAAGCTTCACCCTCCATAAAATACGTCTGTAATGCTTTGAAAAGAAATGAAGACCTGGGTACTAACGGTGAGTTCATATATTCTTTTTCGTTGCTTCTAGTTTACTAACGTTCCGGTGCATAGTAAGGGCAGGATGCTCTTTTCGAATAACTCCTGAATCATTCATTCCAACAGTTTATTTAGCAAGCCAAAATATCTCTAAGATGGAAGAAAAAACTTTAGATCGTTCATCATTATGACTTTTGTTTGACGAGGGTATGCTTGTGGATCCTTGTTTTGACGAATGCTCCTCACCCACATTCCTGTATAAATCATCCTGCTCGTCAATCATCTTTTATTTAACTCATTCCGAATTACTTTGACAATTGATGAAATAACAGCGTAGATTCTGTGTTACCAATGTCTTTTTGATGCTCCCCCCAAGTGCCATGCCCTTGAGGTGTTGTTCTTTCTCTGCCTATAAATAGCAAACTTTCGCTCTGTAATTGGACTTTACGCTTAAGATTATAAGGGGTTCTTCCTGAGATAATTTCATGACGGCTCATGACAGCCTTTGGTCATCAACATTATGTAGAATGAAGCCATTTTGTGATTATCGTGTGAGAATGTCTAATGAGCTATGTATGGTGTTAGTCTTCATTCACCAGGATACCAGCCCAATTCTGTTTGGTCCTATAAATTGCATGTTCCATCATTCGCGTGCTGTTCCTTTTCCATATAAATCACATACGTGTACACCGTGATTCGATTACGATCGAACTCTCGGGTAAGCGTTTGGTTTTGTTTTTCTTTTTTTTGGAAATCATTTCCCGAATATAATTTGGTTTAAGCATTTCTTCTCAACTCAGCTCTCCACTAATCTGAAGTTTTGTATATCAGGCAGATGGAATTTTGGAAGTAAAAGCTTCTGAGAGTCAACTAGAATGTTTATAGAAAACAAAAACTTAGACATGCTCAAAATAATAACCTTGATCCTTCAGCTAATAACATATGCAGTTTCCAACTAGTACAATCTCGCCTCTTCGTTTAATTGGATCATAGTTGCTCCAAAGTTTTTCAATGGCGACACGCACAAGTTTTTAAAGCAACAAGCTCTAAACTAGTTTGCCGAGAAAAAAAAGAAAAAAGAGATATTCCATAAATAAAGCTAAACGGCATAAGAAGACGATCGTCTACTATTTCTTCTAACTATTTGACAGTCATGTTATACCTATTTTCTAAGATGGTTGTGGTTGCTCGCCGACAGTTCATCATTCATGTAAGGTCTTTTCTGTGCATCCCAAGTGGTTCCTCATAGTAGCTCCCATCTCTTGCCTCATCTCAAGCTTCCTCTCCGTTTCTTTAATGTTTTGATATTATTCTAACAGTCAAAAAACCTATTTGCAGAAGTATCAATATAGAGATAGAAAAGTTATACAGAGAGAAAATCCTGCTTAATGCACAACTTACAGCATCATAACAGTCGATTTGAGGTGAAACGTAGAAATAATGAGGTTAATTTGGAGAGTTATCGACGTGACAGTTGACTGAGAACCCCATTAATATATATGCTAAATCTTCACTTTATGGCTTTGATCATTTAACCAGCTCTTGTGTTTCAGAAGGCCAAGCCTTTCACTCTACACTGCTCCCTTCTATTTCTGGTTCTGTTCTATGCTTTCTGTGGTGGATTCATCTTTAATAAACTTGAGGCCAAAGCTTGCAGAGATATGCAAGAGAGAAACAAACAAGAAAAAACTGAATGTGTTATTCGAGTAAGTAATTGAATATAGATAGAAACTCCAGAAAATAGTTTCAGATGCTAGCTGAGGTTAAACGGAATGCTTTGACTTATATGGAACGAAACAATACTGCAAAACTTATTATGACTTGCTTCGAAGAAGAGAGGTTAGAGTTCTCTCTGTCCCATACCTTATTCAACACTCGTCTTTGCAGGGACGAGCGTAGTGAATGGTCTTTTGTCACAGCTACTTTATATGGATTTGGTATCGTCACCACTTTAGGTTCATAGATATAGCTTTCCATTTCCTTATTTCCCAGCTCTCCAGGATATAACCGAATAGCTCCCGTAACATATGCCGGACGATTATTCTGTATTGTTTACGGCATCTGTGGAATTCCTATAACCATGATTATAATTGCAAACGTAGGACAATATTTGAACAATTTCGCTGGAGATTCTCGAAGAAAAGTAGGAAAGCTATAGATCATCTTCTGACTCATTGTGTTTCAGCTGGAAGCATATCGCACCCAACGACGGATGTCCAAGGCATCACTATCAGGCAAAGAATATAAGGTAAATTTGATGTCTGATGTAGGTTCATCTTCCAATTAAGGAATCATCCATCCAAGTAACTTCTCTGATACTCTTGCTCGTTTTCCTGGTTTATGTAGCGTTTGGGGCAATTCTATTGCCGGCTTTGAATGGCCAAGTGAGTAATTCGTTCTTGTTTATGGAGGACATCCCAAAATGATTCAGATTGATTTTTTCAATGGACTTTATTATAATTTTCTTTGTTTAACTGCCATAGATTTTGGGCAGTTAGTTCCTACCCGGTAGGTTTGAACGTCAAACATCAGAAAGAAGTATTTCATATTCTAGAGTAGCTTTCCTTCCCATCACGTTTTTATATGTTTGTTTGGGATTGGCCATAACAACGATTGCTATCGGTTCGCATATCATAACTTTCCATTTTTTATTTTTCTCCAAAACTCTGATGAAACTGTCTTTCAGACATCGGTTCGGAGTATATGAAGAAACTACATTATCTGGGAAAGAAAATGAAAGATGCTGCCCAAACTAAGATTTGGTTCGGAGGAAAAACGTTTGTCATCAACTTGATTTGGAGTTTCTCTTTCTTCAAGGTTGAAGGTTCGGGATTTACTACATGCTGTTGGCAAGAAGTGTGGTGTTGAGCCAGCTGTTATTGATGCTCTGGATTTGGAGAATGTTGTTGAAAGAACAATAGCCATACAAGTACATTTTAAATCTCCTGTAGCTCTAGGGAGATTTGCGTTTTCAGGAAGGCCGGGATCCTCCGGAAGATACAAACGATTTTGAAAGCCCTCCAAATGAAGAATCATGTATTGAGAAAGCCCCCTTGTCGTCACCTTCCACTACTGGCTCTCGATCACCATCAACAGAGCATAGTCCTTTCCTCTCACAGTAAACATCAATAATATACCTAGAAAATTCTTCATTCAGATCTCCAATCAATCGAACCTTGCCCGAACTGGTCATACGGAACCCTTCCTACTCCTCTGTCACGCAGGAAATATCTAGTCCTGTGGAAGCTGTTAGTATTATCAGTCATAACTCTCATCATTCGTATTATCTTCAGATTTTTGTTCCTCCGACCCAGATATGTAAAATTGAACTACCGGAGACGGACAGTGAAGATGAGTTAGAAGAGACTCCACGTGTAGTGGTTATTGAACCACCACCTCCAAGAGAAGATGTGGAAGAGGTCGGGATTATATATTGTCGATTCAGACACCTCCTTAGTGTTTTAGATCCGACCTATACTTGTTCGGATCGTGGGACCATGTACATCATCAAGTGGTTCTATAAGATCACGATCTGTTAGCCCAGACGAACACGGTATTATCACATGCTTTATCGTTTATTTTTGTCATGAACTGATAACCTTCTTCCATAACTTCAGAACCGAAGAAGTTTCGAGAGAAAAAGGAGAAGTATGGTCGGGATCCTCGTAAACTATATGAAACGTATCAAGAGGAATGGGAACGATTGGAGAAGCTATCGGATAAAAAGTTAGAGCGTTTAAATTCTTTCAATCCATTCCTAAACATACATTTCCTAACTATCTTTAAATTCTAGAGGCCGTTCTCCAACCAGGTAAACCTATGATAAAGTTGAACCAAATTAGTTTTTTCTTTTTTTTGCGTTGGCATGATTTCTGTTTCTGATTTCTTCTGTCTTTCGACCTGTGATCCCCTATCATCCTCAGCGCTACTCTTACATGTCATATTTCAGACATGGTCCACGGCGACGGTCTATCTTGCAGAGCTATACTCCTGATCGATCTCCTTCTCCTTCAAATTCACATTCAGTCCATCATTGATTCTCACTTTCTACATCTTGATTCATAGTTCTCTTTTGTGAATGTGCAATAGGATATTCGATTCTTCTAAAACTCAGAACAACGAATTCTGAAACTTTATTTCAATCACAATACTGGTTTTACATTGGTTACAAAGTTTTGTACCTCACATAACAAGCTTCGTCTTCCTTGCACAGTTTTTGGATGATTTCAAAAAACCCTGTTTACGCTTGCCCAAAAGTACATTTTCGTAAAAAAAATTCATTCGTATGCGCCCACTAAAAACAAAAATATAAATACTTATATCAAATGTTTTGTCATTATGCGTTGAGGAAAGTCCTAAAGAGGAATTGGGAAGTTTTGTTTGCTTAAAAACCGTATATGAGATTATCACATTATGCATGTGGGAATTTGTAAGTTTTGTAAATGTAGTTAGGATATGATTAATGACTGCCGATAATCTTAGATACTTAGTTTGCCATGATACGCATGTTCAGAATTGAAAGCAAAAATATCGTTTGTCTCAGAATTTACGGCAATTCCATCGAGACCTTGTGGAGCTTCAAGGCTTAGTTTCGTCCATTGTTGGTTACCATTGGATAATCCTGTTATGGCATATAGTGAACCATTGTGTTCTGAACCGCTCATTCCTAAAACGATTGCATGAGGGAATATCACAAAATCCTAACAAACAAAAATGACAGTTGTGTATCATATTATAACCATATGAACAAACAATTGCACTTTTGGTCAATGTTTACAACTAACCCACGCGTACAGATCCTGTCAAATGTAAAAAGTCACCACTTGCATTAGTTCCCACGTAATCAGCTCTAGAGAAAAATGGTGGTCCACTCCTCGCTTCAGCATCTGCCACCTACAGTTCAGTCACAGTACAATTAATAAACAATTTCGAAACTACCTGAATGATTTCGAAAGTTTTCGTCTCTTCATCGAACTTAATCAGTTTATATGTTTCCCACATAAACCCACATCCGAAAACTCCATAGCTGATGAACACCTTGCCGTTTCCTTGAAGTGCTGCGATTGGCAAACCAGGCTGAAGGGTGAAGATAATTCAATGCGAAAAGATTATATCAACAAACCATGAATCCTTCCATAGGGGATTCTGCTTGATAATCAATCTCAGCAGCATTCTCGCTTATGGTAAGCCGGTATGCGTGATAAACTCTGTTCATTCCTACTACAATGGTAGTATGATGACTGCCTGGTCGACTGACTGCAGTAATATACTCCGCTTGACTTTTTTCATCTTCACTTATTTTTTTTGCTGGCGCCTATAGAAATCGAAATATATTTTTTTCCATTTTGAAGGATCAACCTTAAGAACAAGCTGCTGCCATTTTTCTCCAGTCCACTTATGAAGCGATTTGAACTCTACACCTCCGAATGCAGCTCCCAAGAGCAAATAAATTTCTCCTTTGTGCTCGAAAACGTTTTCGGTCGCGTTTTCTTCATTCAATACAGCAGGAAACTATAATATGTAATGATGAAAGTCTTTAGCTGGGTAGTACCTGCACAGGAGTATTCCATTTCTTCTCAACAGTATCGAAAGAAACAGCATAGCCACCAATGAAAGTAACTCGTTGGCCCCAATTGAACGTAGGTTGTTGAACAACTTAAATAATAAAATTAGTTTTGGGAAAGGAACCTTGTTAAGAATGCAAGTGTGCGCCGATAGCAAATGAGTACGAATGAAACTCGAGAGAGCGTTATTGCTCATCATTAGCATATGAAATTGGCCAACGCGTAATTAGCATATTATGTTAGCATATGTCTATATTAATATTAAACTGTTCAGACGAATAATAATGCAGCACTAGAGGTTTAATTCGATAAAGAGAAATTCAACTCACAGTTTCTGGAGAAGAACCATACTAGGTCCTTAGCGTAAACGACATTGTGATACTCCGCTTTCTCGAAGTTCTCAATGGAGGACAAAGGGGGTGCAATGGTAGAGAATGACATACTGAAAACGATAATGATGAGTTAGTGAATGTATAAGGTAAGATTATAGTCTAAAAAAACTACATGAGGAACAATGCTGTTATAAATTAATTAGATAAAGAAGGTATAGTGATCGCTCGGAGGGTTGAAAAAGTGGTGGTTGAGGTTCTTTTATACTGGCTTGTTTGCGAAGAGCGACAATGGTGAGTCATCGATGAAAATACCGAACACGATTATAGTGACAAAACATCATTGACAGATGCTTTTTAAGGCTTTACAACAAGGCTCCCGTTGAATTACTCCAATATGGATTCATAGAACATGTATTACACAAAAATCAATTGAATCGAACAAACTGTTTACGGTTCATGTTGTTGTTTTTTTAATCTCCGACCTTCAAATATGCTAAAACGTTTGAAAATTCGAGAAAACGTTGTAGCAGCCAATACGAGCTAGTATACCAATCAACGTTTCAAGTTACATTTGAATCAATCTTGTGTTACTTATGATGAACAATAGATCCCATGTCTTTGTAGGTTTTTCATGCTCGTTGCTACCTTGTTGAGAGGTTTTAGCAACATTGGATTGCAGTTCTATTTTGTCGTTAACAGCGGTCTCTTAACAGAGATTCAAGTTAAGGAAATGTCAGGAAAGCAGTGATAAATCAAAACCTGAACATATGCTCTGCTTGGAAATTTAAAATTGCAACTGGCACAGAAAAAATAATTTGGGAAATGGTGGATTTGTCTTGGAGATCACGTATGCCAAGTACAATTGTAACAGTGATGGTTACTTGCTCAGACTCTTTCAAACCTTTATCAGTTTGTTTTTATTTTGATCATCAATAGCCCTACTTTTATCATTTTGTGTTTTAGGAAATGAAAGCTCATGTTTCAACTTTCTGGTTTGAGATTGACCTTTGTTGTTTCTAATTGATAAAATATCAGAAAACAAAGTTCTCTCGCTCCTTTGCTATCGATTTTCTTCGGTGTACGTGTCTTTTGAGAATTGTCGTAGAATTTGCACACGTATCGCTTGTTTCTGCTAAATCTTCTTTTCTGTATTTCAACATTCAATCTAACTCAATGTCGTTTATTAGAATTATTTTTTAAGGTTGATTTCACCGGTGAAAATGTTCTCGCGGGTTGCACGTCCTCTGCAAGGACTTCGAAGCATTGCTTCCATTCCAAAGGTTTGTATTCTTTCCTGATAGAAAACAAAAAAATTATTTCAGTTTGCTAGAGCTACTAGTTCTATTGCTCATACCCTTAAAGTAGCTGAAAAGATTGAAAAGACTAGAGCCCAAGCACTTTTAGGAGGAGGTCAGAAGCGCATCGATGCTCAACACAAAAGAGTTGGTTCCTTTCTCATCATAGTGTTATAATATATATTTTTAGGGAAAGCTCACAGCTCGTGAACGTATCAACCTTCTTTTGGATAAGGGATCATTCCGGGAGTATGACATGTTCGCTGAGCACACCTGCACTGATTTCGGCATGCAGAAAGAAAAAGTGTGTGCAACAGGGCTTAAGTTCATTATGTTTCTGTATTTAGTACCCAGGAGATTCAGTAGTTACTGGTCGCGGAGAAATCAATGGACGTACAGTCTTCGTCTTCTCTCAAGATTTTACCGTTTTCGGTGGATCTCTATCTTCTGTACACGCTAAGAAAATCGTTAAAATAATGAAAGACGCTATGCTTGTTGGGGCTCCCGTTATTGGATTGAACGACTCTGGCGGAGCCAGAATCCAAGAAGGAGTTGAGTCTTTAGCTGGATATGCTGATATTTTCCAGGTAGATTTTCTGCAGTCAGCTTGTGTTCTATATGATTGTTTAGTTAAACGTAATGGCCTCAGGTGTTGTACCTCAAATTTCACTTATCATGGGACCATGCGCTGGAGGAGCCGTGTACTCTCCCGCTTTGACTGACTTCACTTTCATGGTTTACTAAGTTTTCTTATGAATAATTTCAATCCTTCATAGGTTCGTGATACTTCGTACCTCTTCATCACTGGACCTGATGTCGTCAAAGCTGTGACTAATGAAGAAGTAACTCAAGAAGAACTTGGAGGTGCCAAAACGCACACTGTTACCTCTGGAGTCGCTCATGGCGCCTTTGAAAATGATGTAGATGCTATTTTGAATCTTCGCGAATTGTTCAGTTATCTTCCATTATCAAATAAGGACGCTGCTCCTATTAGAGCTTGTGATGATGCTTGGTTCGTGTTTTCCTCTTAGTTTTGATAACAGAAAACCTATAGGAATCGCTCTGTCCCATCTCTCGACACTGTTGTACCATTGGAGAGTACCGCTGCGTACAACATGAAAGACGTTGTTACTGCATTAGTTGATGAAGGTGACTTCTTCGAAATCATGCCTGATTATGCCAAGGTTAGATGCAGAGTTGCAAGTGCCATGTCAGTTTGCCTCTTTCAGAATCTCGTTATCGGCTTTGCTCGTATGAATGGTAGAACTGTTGGAATCGTCGGAAACAACCCTAAATTTGCTGCTGGTACTTTCAAAACGCCCTTCTTGTAATTGAGTTAGTGTTTTAGGATGTTTGGATATCAATTCATCTGTGAAAGGAGCACGTTTTGTTAGATTCTGCGACAGTTTCAATATTCCCATCATCACTCTTGTTGATGTCCCAGGGTTCTTGCCTGGTACAGCTCAAGAGTATGGTGGAATCATTCGGCATGGAGCTAAGCTTCTTTATGCTTTCGCTGAAGCTACTGTTCCTAAGATCACAGTTATCACGAGAAAAGCTTTCGGTGGAGCTTATGATGTTATGGCCTCGAAGCATCTCCGTGGTGACATCAATTACGCCTGGCCAACTGCTGAAGTTGCCGTCATGGGAGCTAAAGGAGCTGTATCCATTCTGTTCCGAAATGATAAGGAAAATGCTGCTAAGCATGAGGAGGACTATACTGACTTATTCAGTAACCCATTCCCTGCTGCCGTGAGAGGTATGACTGAGTACTGACTATTGAAGCCAACAACTCGTCTTGTTTCAGGTTTCGTTGACGACATTATTCAACCAGCAGAGACCCGTAGACGCCTTTGTGAGGATTTGAACATGTTAGAAAGCAAGCAGATGTCAAACCCATGGAAAAAGCATGGAAACATCCCACTTTGAATACTGAACGGTTTTTTTCTAAATTTTATGCTGCATTTGTACTGTTGGACTTCAACCCGGATGAGAAAATTATAATTGAATTTTGTATATAAAGAGTTTAGTTTACGGACCACATGAACAGTTTTCTTCATACTCAATCAAAGAGACTCGTTTGTAACGCTTTATTAAGGAAGATATGGTCTGTACAGATATGTTGCATTATTAGAATCTAATTATTAACCTTTCACAATACTCCGAAGAACTTGGCAATGTTCGTGAGTATAGCTTTCTGCATAGGAGGGATAACGTTTTCCACATCTTCTACAGATGGAATTTCGAGTTTGGGCAAATCTTCCAATGCTGGGAGTGTCATTGGTGGGAGTGTTGGCAAGGGTGTTATACCCAATTGAGTAAGATCCAGAATTCCACTGTTTGGGGCTTTAGGTAAAGCATCAACATTCTTGGTTGTCTGCGAACCGCCTAAATCCGAACTAGGTTGGTTCACTGAATCGGGAAGTTAGAAGATGAAACATAATAGTAATCATACCATTCATTTCCTGGTTGCCGAACTGTTGTTGTTGTTGTTGTTGTTGTTGATAGTTATATTGAGGCTGTTGATAGCCCAGGTAAGGTTGAGAGAATTGTGCTTGGGGGAACTGAACTTGTGGGAATACAGCTTGAAGCAATTGAGGTTGTGAGTAAGCTTGAGAACTTGGAGAGTTGTAAGCAGCCTAAATAATGATTAATTTCAAAAGTACATTTTTCAGTTGCGTTATTACGTTGTTAGGGGCAGCAGCAGCAGCTTGAGCAGTGTTAGGTACTCCAAAAGCAACGGTTTTGGGTTTTCCCTGAATGTTAAAGTGATTTTTTATCTCTCAAAACTGGTTCATACTTCTTTAGACTTGACTTCGACGTCTCCATCTAAATTTCTGAGAACAGCACTGTTCGAAACTGTTAGATCTTAATATAGAAGTCAAGCTAATCTATTATCACTTAGGAACCTTCAGCCTCCGAACTGTCACTACACAGGAACCGTCTGACGTATACAGAATACTCGATTCTGGAAGATAATAAAATTATTTTTTTTTATAAATTCAACAGATGTTTACGTTCCGTTCTGGAATACATTTTTCTTTATGTTAGATATGTAGTCGAATGCAACCAAGCGATCGTTTTCGATGACCTCTCCGCCGATGAAAATTTGTCCCTAGAAGAAAATTGCAAATCAGTTTATGAACCTATCGGGTCTACGCTTTACCTGTTGAATAGGAGCGATTCCTCTATCTTCGGAATCTGCCAATGGTGCATAGGAACAGCATCGCACCTAAATATGTTGTTTCAATGGTTGACAACAAGTGCGCTCCAGCTCAAAAATGCAGTGACCGTAATTAGAATAATGGAGATTTAAAATCATTTGAACGCGCCATAGTTCTCATTTACATTTCAGGGCACGCAAGGAACGGTTGTGGATCGTGTTCGAAATTCATCAGGTAAAAAAAATTTAGCTCACTGGTAATTCAGGCTTGTACGCATTGGTTTGTGGCGATATGCCTCCAATCCATTCTCCTTCTCCACAACCAGTCGATCGGTGGTGTTCTGAGCATTGCTGGAATTGAAAGTTCAATCTCTTTTTTTCAGCTTATGGTTTACCGCGGTTTGAGGTTCTTCACTGATGAGGTTGCTAGGTCTAACAAGCTGATCTGATCTGCGTAAATATCTGAATCGATGTTCAATTTGTGATTGTGAGGTAAAGCACTAACCCATCTTCTTTACCATTAATCCGATAAAATTGAGCAGTATCCTCTGCTCTTGTTCCGTTTTTGTTCCACCCGAAGCATCGCGGTCTGGCACATCCTAATACTGGGTTCCCAGATCGCAGACTCTGCAAAATGAATAATACATATCATTTTTGTATTATTTTACCTGGAAAGTGAAAGGCACTGCGGATTGACCGCAGTAGGACGTTGAAGCATATGCAGCTAACGATGCCAAGATCAGAGAAGCGAGAAGGCGGAAAGAAAACATTCCAGGAAGTCTGAACGTGAAAGTATTAAACGAATTCAAATAGCAGTTTTTCAGAATATGAATCAACAGAGTAGAAAAAATTGCATGAACAATCACGATTGATCAACCAATTATCGTTCAAATCTAAACCTTCAGTTTAGAAGCTGGCTAATCACAATTCAGTTGACTGACTTAAGATTTCGCGCTGTCTTGGCCTGGATGTCTAGCTACCAAAAAGAAAGGCCGACGACATAGTGGATAAGAGGTGAAAGTGGAATGAAATAGAGAGCCATTCAATTGGGTCACAGTCAACCAGAAATCGTGAACAAGCCCGCACACAGCAAGCGGTCCAAAAGTTTTTAATGCATTGATATTCAGGTGATAATGCCTTTCAATATCTAGCATCCCGAGAGGTTTTAATGATAATGAAGATACTACTGCTTCTACTCAACAACCTGTTCAATTCTCAGCGATCCTAAATGTGGTGTCGATACATAAGTGATGAAATTTCACTTTCTGAGATATTTTATCATTGGATGTTCCCGTTACCTATACACAACCTATTAAGGGTATTGGAACAAACACTTTCACAACAAAGCAAAATGGGATCATTTCCTTTTCAATCGTCTTAAAATTGGGAAAGTTTCGTCTCAACATGTATGAGCCAAGTATCTCATTTTCTTTTTCTTAAGGATTTATTGAAAAGGATGAAACACTCGTCTTCGTTTCAAATAAGGTCAAACGTATTCACTGTTTTGGAAACATTCTTCTCATGTTGTGTTAGATAAGTATTGAAAATTGAATATGATACTTTGAGAGCTCTTCGTGTAGCGAGTACAAACTTGTTCTTAAACTGTGATGAAAATTATGAAAGGAAGGTCAGTTGAGAAAGAGATAGCACCGTCATAAGATGGCGAAAGCCAGAAGAAAGCAAGAGCGTTTTAGTGACTAGAATAGTTCGGCCGATAGTTTCGCACAGGTAGCAAGAATCGAACCGGCTTCACACAGAAGAACAAAGAAAGTACGTAGGTCGGATATAACCGAATTCATTCTCATCGTTTGAAAGTATATGGTTCTGAAAATAGAAACCGTATGCACTACCAGCAAAAGAAGGTGAGTTGAACTCATGAACATCATATGGTACATATGCTTTAGGGGCACAGAGGAATAAATGCTAAGGTTCTTGGCTCATGAGGAGGAGACGTTGTTTCGTTGCTTATACTGGTCATCAATGACAAGTTTGGAATTTTTTAGTTCTAGAACTCTTCTGTAAGCCTTAAGCCTTGGATTTTGAAGGATTGGAAAATTTTGAAAGAATTTTCATTCTTTCGATACCATCCCATATTCTCATCCGTTTAATCTACCCGCTATACTCTCTGATGTCGCAATTATCCCTCCGCAGATCTTCAGACAGCCAGCATGAAAAACTGCTATTTAGACACGTTTTTCACTAACTTTTCAGTTTTTTATTGAATCCGGCGACTTGCAGCCAGTTTTTTTCGGATGGCTATCACTGGCCACTATATAAAAAGCTGTAGAAAAAAATTTGGCAAAAGCATTAAAGATGACTACCTTCGGGTATGCTAGTGCTGGCCTCTGTTGCTTTGGCGTTGTCGCCGCTTTGTTCGCTGTTGGAAATATCATTAGCGATATTAACGAACTCCGTGATGAGGTGAGCTCTAGTTTGAGAATTCTAATATACTTTTTCCGTTACAGGTAGAAAACAGAATGGATGAGTTCAAAGTTATGGTTGATGACACCTGGGACCGTCTCTTAATCCTCCAAAGCCCAAGTGGAAAGTCTGAGAACGCAATGCCAAGCATCTTCAGAAAGAAGAGGTTTTCCATACAATGAATGCTGAGATAACCCATTTTTTACAGATACGTCTACCCTGGAATGTGCAATTGTAACGCTAACAGCAATGGATGCCCAGCTGGACCAGCTGGACCACCAGGACCTCCAGGACCACGAGGAGAAGAAGGACTTTCTGGAGACGATGGAAAGCCAGGAGCAAGTGGAATTTCCCTTTTGGCTACTCATGATCTTCCTGGTGGTTGCATCAAATGCCCACCTGGACCAGCTGGACCCCAAGGAGCTCCTGGATCTTCAGGACCACAAGGATTCCCTGGATCACCAGGAAAAGCTGGACCAGCCGGAGATGATGGAGAGACTGGACCACAGGGACCAATTGGCGACCAAGGACCAAAAGGAAATCCAGGCTTTGATGGACCAACTGGACCAGATGGACTCCCAGGAACCGTATCCTTCCCAGGAGCCCCAGGACAACCAGGAGAGCCAGGATGGCCAGGAGAGCCAGGTCTTCCAGGTCTCGCTGGAGAGCCAGGACTCGACGGAGCTGATGGACCACAAGGACCACCAGGAAATGCTGGAACTCCAGGACATGATGGATTTGCTGGACTTCCAGGAGGATTGGGACTACCAGGAAAACCAGGAGCTGATGCTAACTATTGCCCATGTCCACAGAGACAAGATTCTGGACCATCTTCTCCAGCTGTTGTTGGAAATGACGGAAACAATGGAGGTTACAGAAACAGAAGAGTCTAAGAAGGATTTTATCAATCATGAAAGAAATCAAATAAAATATTATTTCACTATAGACCATATTATATTACAAGTTTACAAGAGAAACTATTTTGAACTCGGAGACCTGGTTCCAAAAAACATGAAAGTAAAGGATTGCTGCACATCCGGGCAAGTAACGCAGAGATTATCATACAGTTAATTCATCCCACTCGATATCTTCTTCCGGTGGGGATAACTCCTGAAGTTATTGATTGATTTAATGGTGGTGAAGTAAAGCTTACTATAATTTGGATACGTATTGCTGTAATGGGTATAATCCCACATCTTCCTCCCGATGCCGGAGATGCTGGTCGACCTTTATTGTCTGTTGAATGAGAAACCTTTTCAGCCTCAACCTGCATCCCAATCAACCTACCATCATCACTCCAGCAGCTCCCACCGCTGTCTCCTTTAAAGGACCCGCTGGAGCCCAGATAACGAGTTCTTGGTATTAATAAATCGCTAGAGATAATCCCGGCAGAAAACGATATGTGTGACGTTTTCTTATATATTACTGAATGACCCATCTGAAATTGTTTCAGTGTAGATATTAATCAAAATTCAAAATCAACGGATCGACTGCGGAAGGTAATTGCGAAATTTGTGGTCACGGGAATAGCTGATCTCTTAAAATTGTCGTTGATTATTCTTATGTTATGTTTCTATAAATCCGATATGTGAATTGTGTTCAATGCTCCTTTGAATGATATCGATAGTTTTCTTTTTGTTTTTTTGAAAGTTAACTCTCTTTATTGTTACTTATTATTTGTTGCCGCAGGCCCCTGACAGTAGAGGCAAAAGATAGAAAAAGATTAAAAAAATTATTTTTTTCAGAATTTTTGAAAGATGTGAGTTTTCTCATATTTTGGCCGGAATAGAAAATCGTATTAATTCAGACATCCAATTAAGATTTCATAAAGAAATGGAGCAAGGGCATAGTATGTCATTTAAACAGATTGAGGTAAAAGTTTGATTCCCAACTTTCTTACCAATTCAGATGGTTTTATCTTCTTCAAAGCCTCAAACCGATCAACTATAGTGTGAAATGTCTTATACGTTTGTATTATCGATGAACTTGTAATTTTAGTTTCGAACGTTGGTGTACTCGCATATCTTTCCATATCTCCCCACGTGCCTAGTGCGAAGCAACAATCAAGGGGAGCAGCATGTAAAGAAGAGGCTAAAACACTCAGAAACAAATGACAAGCTCGGCTGTTAATGTGACGCTTCTTGTACGTCTTTTCTGCCATCTCCTTGTCAACAAGACATTTCATTTTGTCACGGTTGAGGACATGCTTGACGTGGCACTAATGAGCTTTGTAGACCCGAATTTCATGTCAGAATCCCATGTTTGACAATTACCAATTCTTTATTGCCTGTGTGATGGTGACATACCATTCTTCAGAAGTAAGATAAGTTTTGTCTTTTCATTGGATTGAATGGGCAACGAAGAGCATGACCATAACGCTCTGTTCGCGTTCCGTTTAACGCAGAACATCCTTCCCATCAGATTACACTCCTCATTTTGCTTTTTCTTTCTCATTTTTTCTTTGCCCAAGCCACATTTCAACTCTGTTGGAACGATTCAATCTTTACACTGACTCTCCCAGTCGTTTTATTGAACATCATTATCATCATTATGCCATTTACGAGAACTTCATCTACATTTATGACCAATTTAATAACTGAATCTCTTCATCCCGAAATCATCTCTCCATCTGCTATACACTCAAACGCAAGTTAATTTCTAATATTTACATTTTTTCTTTCTCTGCTTCTGTCTATTTTTAGTTGAAGAAGACGAAATACTTCTTCCCATTTCTAAAAAATAACTTTTCTATAGAATGAGTGAAGGGTTGACGACATGTACGATTCCATAGATACATGCTTTCATTCTCCACTTTCTCTCTTTATCTCAACCACTTGCATATGTTGATCAGTTCTCTTATTAAATCACCATATTAGGCTTCATCAACCTATTCAATATCGAACATCTAACTGTTGTACTTAGCTGCCGTTTATAACAACTTCTTTCTCCTCTCTATCATTAATCAATTCCTCTTTCGTGTCTCTTAGCATGCAGTAGAAAGATTCTATTTCTGACAGTTTCTAAATCCCCATGTTGCACTTTTGAAAGAGCCAATAAGAGTTAGAATTCACTCAATCCAGCGTGCAGCTTGTTGAGACAGATATATGAGGTAATAGATGCATTAAGTACTAGCGGTTTTACAATTAGACATGACCCAAAGCCCTTTTCTGTTTAAGAACGACGTCGTAAATGTCTGTCTAACATTGAATTTTTATGTTCAAACAAAACAAAAATGGAAATCTATGGCAACTTCATCGACGGCAACGAGATCTGGTCGTTTTTTGAAATAGCCACAAGAATATCCCTTATATGCAAATTAAGCTTCGAAACTGTGTTCTTCAAATCAATTTATAGACTTCTATGTGTGTGAAAGCATTTAGAAAAGTAAAAAAGCAACTATGAGATGTAGAAATACTTCTTAGAAATAGGGAGAGAGAGATAGAGAGTAGAGAGACAGTAGAGAGAGAAATGTAGAATATGTTGTGAGAAGAAAGGAGAGAGAGAGGGAAAGACACACACAGATACACATACACCACACACAGCTAGAACAACCGCTCGATGCAGACATCAGATTAAAAATGGAAAATATTTCACGTGAATAATCAAGCTCACACGTCGAATTTCAGTAAAGTATTTGAATGACTTCGTTATTTTCCTCTGAAAAGTCTGAAAAACAGAAATTTCACTCTTTTAATTGAGTTCTGAAAGTTCTGAAAGTTTGTATGCAAATGGAAGAAACGTTTGACGTATGTGGATGGTTGTCACAAATTTATTGCTTTAAAGGATAATATTTGATAAGTTTTCATAAATTAGTTTGTAAAACATGTCCTTCTCAAGAGACTTTCAAGATGTTTTCATAACAAAAGGCGTTTTGTCGTTTGGACTTTCGAGATTCTCAACGAACTCTAGAGAATTACTCAATTGATCTCAATAATTAGAATATTAATAGTAAATGCTCTAATTGTGTGGTTTGGGAAAGCAGACGAATCCTTCCATTTGTCTCCAAATCTCATTCTTAACACGCCTAAACGTCTGAAACAAGATCAGCCATCCAAAAATCTATTTTTAATGTAATTTTATGTTTTCTAAAGTCGTTAGGCCCACCAGGCTGTCAGTCTTTACAGGTGTTTTTTTGTTATTTTGGGACTGACATCGTCTTCTCTGCCTCCTCATTCTTGTGTTCATCGTTTAGCTCTCATAAAGTTCTTTGTGGCGTTTGTGTTTGGCAAATGGACCAATTGAAATGAAAGTGTCATAGCCTCTCTCACCCAAGGTGTTGTTTGTACTTTGAAAATGGGTAAAGGATGCTCTCATATACCTCTGAACATATGATACTCTTGAATGTTTAATTAACAATTCCGTCCAAGCAGGGAATTTATGAAATTTCTTGAAATGAACAAGAATACTCACAAATATCTTTAGTTTCGAAGCTGAAAAGTTATTTGCAAAATAACATTTCCATATATGCATGTATTTACTTTTTTTCACAAAACAACTAAGCTATTCCGTAAAATCACGGCTTTCCCCCCTTTTCTCTTTCTAAGCAGCAGAAGGTTTTCATTTTCTTTCATTTCATTAATACTTTCACTGTTTTCTTTCTAACGTTTTAATGTTTTTTGGTTAATATACTTCATGACGCTTGTTTTTCGAACAGAATTATCATGTCATTCAGTCAATTCTTGACAAGAAGTTTCATAGCATATCAGAGCTTTTTTGTGAACAGTTGTGTCTTCTCTTCCCTTCTTCCTTTCATTCTCTTCTATCTCTTCGCTTTTCATACTATTTTCATCTCATCTCTATCCACGTCAATTTCCACGTGGAAGTTCACGTATGCCGCAATTTTCAGTTTTCCTCCATCGCCCATATGGAACTGTTGCTTGCTTTTTATCTTTCTCCACTCTCCTAACTTTCTTCTCCGATTGTTTTCCAAACATGGAAACTACTTGGCTCGATGAGAATCTTTCCAAAAGCTGCTTTCACACCTGCATACAGATTTCGAATTCAATGAAGCTTCAACTGCTCACAACAAAAAATGGAGAAAAGGAGAGACTGGGAGAGAGAAGTACAAAAATCATCTGCATGTTGTGCTTGAAGAAGTAGAAGAAGACGAGCTGAAGCCTGCGCTTGAATTGTTTCAAGTTTTCTGTACTTCATGTTTTGTGATTCAAAACGGAGTTGCTTTACACATCATGGTGTCAGCCAGGTTTGGTCCGGGCAATCCTACACCTATTCTTTACCAAGTTCTAGACTATAGCTCTTAGAAAGAACATATGGCTTAACCACTATTTCGTTCTCGCCATCCAAACCAGCTATCTTTCTCAAAATAATTATATGGATTTAGCTGTTGTTAGCAATTCTCATTCCAAAAGATGATGTTAATATGAATGTGAAGATTGTTGTTTCCTTCCTCTCTCTCTTTGTTTCTGAATGGACCCAGTCATTTTCTGCTTGTTTTCAGTTTCAAGGAAATTTACCTGTGCTTTTGGTTTTGCTCATCTCTATATAATCATCTGCTGTCCTTCTGTTCTCTCTAACTCTCTCACAGTCTCTATCTTTCTTTTTTTTTCTTTTTTCAATCTTTTTTTCTCTCCACGTCCTAAACCAGTGAAAAAGTATGTTCCAGAGTGTTTTCATCCTCACTTTGTCTCCGTACTCACGTCGCAGGTCACAACAGCATTCTATTTAAGTGAGCTCATAGCTCCGGAACAGCCTTTTCACCTGGGCTTATTAGCATTTCCTTATATGTATCAACAATTCTACGTTTTTTAAGCTCAAGTTGTGGAATGGGCGTAGTGGAGATGTCGGCATATCGAAATTGAAAATTTCGAAACTTCCGATGACTCCAAGTCATTCATTCTCTTTCTGTTGTTTTCTTTTCTTTTTCTGTTTATCTCGATCCAAAACGTATAATGCTAGTGAATAATTGATAAAGAATAGTCTGTTTCAGATATTTTTTAGAAGAAGAAAGAAGAAAGAATCGGAAGGAAGTCGTAATTCGCGTGGTGGTGATGAACCGTTTTGACTCTTGTCGAGCTTCTCGCTACTCACGTCGAGGAAGCTTGTTCCATGGCGATCAGTGTAAGTAATTATATGAAGCCGATACTAACTACTAATACTTATATTTTTATTTGAAATACGCACAAAGCTATTATTTTCCTATTATGATGATGTCGATTTCAATTTCGCGGCTGAAACCTCAGCGTGAAACATAAATTACATCAACATGCTAACTCTCTGAATAGCGATCTCTCTTCTGAAGAATACAGAGCGAAAGGCATGAATCGGTTTTTCTCTTTTTTTTTGCTAGACAAAATAGAAACAAAAGAAGAAACAAAATTTTCTCCTTTCTTCCACTTTTCGCACAAAGGAGTGGAAAAAACAGTTTGAACTACTTATGATTAGCATGCAAATGAGCTGATCGTTTTGAAACAACTATCCCTTCATGTATATAAAAAATATTCTTTTTGTTTTGTTCTGTCTCAGAATGTCTCTCTGCTTCTCATTGTGTTGTAGTTTCGCTCCTCATGACTTCCATCTGATTCATCTACGGTAGTCTTCCAGAAACTTATCGTCAACAAGAATTCCCATCAATTCAATTGAAGACTTTATTAATTTTTCTTTGTTTTGCCTTTCCACCCACCAATACAACACACAACAGATAGATCTGATTTTGTTTGTTTCGGCGGCTTGCACAGAAGAAACTCCATCGAACTCATTCAATTAGTCATGACCCTCAAGCAGCATGAACTTCCCCATAACCATGTCAAACTGAGACTTCTCTCTTTCTATTTTCGTTCCATTGCCCCAACCCACTCTGATTTGAGCCATTTTTCTTTCTTTTTTCTTCAAATATTTTTCGATTTGTAATGAATGGTAAATGCGAATTTGCTCATTAGGGGTAAATAGCTTATAGAAGTGGAGACGGATATGTCTGAAATGAAACAGAAATTTCGTTTTTCCACCTTTTCTCTCTCTCCCACCTTCATTCATTCTATCCTGAAACGGTTTTATTCTCATTGTCACTTTTTGAGTTGAATGACAACTTTTCAAGTTTCGAAAATTTTAAAAATAAAATGACGCTCCAAAGGAAGTTTAGGACGAGACCTTAAGGAAGCCATTTCCATTTCCCCTTTTCTCAGTGTCTGCTTAGGTCTTTCAAAGCTTTTACTTCTAATTCAGCTTAATGTTATTTCCTTATCGTCATATATCATATTTTCATACATCGAAAACCTTCTTCACAACAGCTTGGCCAGTTGAAATAGTAACAAGCAACAGCCTCTAACTGGCCTTTTCCCTCGTTTTTATCGTTTTGCCAACTTATCCCAAACCTTTTAACTGTCCGTAATTCATCGTGTTATTCTGAGAAAAAGGGAATAAATTGAAGTTTTCCAATCATTTCAACCTCCAAAAGGTTTTTATTCATCAAAACTCTCTCTCTTCCTCAACTTATTTATACTTGCAAACACATGTCCATCTCATATGTTTATGCTTCTCACCAGCATAACCTAGGAAAAATTATTTTTTCCCCTTTTTTTTTCACTTTTTTCTACACATTTTCAAACCAATTTTACGTATGTACATATGCACATTCCTAGATCGAAATGCATGTTTTCCACACACATTTATGAGCTTTGATTCGAACATTTTCTTTTTTTTTTCCTTCTGTCCTATTCAAAATTATTTTTTTTAACCTGTCTCACACGTCATTCACGTGAATTCTCACGTAATCGACACGTGCTACGGTCTGCCATTCTTTGAAACGCAGATATAGTGAACGGTTGTGCTCTTCCATCTCTCTCTCTTTCTCTTTCTCTCTCTTCCTCTCACTTTCACTCTTACACTCATTCCTTCTCAATTCTCTTCATAATATTTCCTTTTATATCATTGTAATAGGATAGTCGTGTACCTGACGAAGTAATTCTATTTCTGCTAAGCTTTCTTATTCATCTCATGTCTTCTAACAATAGATGTTTTTGCTTTGATTCAACGATTTCTTAATGTACCATTTCTTGTTTCGAGCATTGAGATCAACTCAGGAACGTTTTTCCTTATTTGAATACGTTTGTCCATGATTATTCTGTACGAAATCCAATAAATATTCTTCGAATTGCCTCAGCTCCTCTCTCAAATGTGTTTTACATGAGGCTTGATATGGAAAATTGGAGAATTCTCAACGAAACGCAAAAGCCCTATTGCCAAACTCAATATTTGAATTTTCTTGGCCTTTTTTTCTAATTTCTACTTCATCCCTGCTAGCTTTCCGACAAATCCAGCCATATCTTGGGAAACCCGCCCGAAATTATTTCTTTTTTGATTTTTTTTGTTTGTCTTTTCTGTTATTCACATCTCAACAACATTCTAATACCTGATACTATTTTTTTGAGATTTTAATTTCTCTTTCTCTCTCATCTACTCTCGTCTCTCATTTCCAAAGCATCATGTAAATGACAGCATTATTTTGGTCTTCAGTTCAAGCTGGACGAAGCTAGATCATCATCAAGCTTCTAGTTCACTGCACAGCTTTACTCTGTAGTTTCATTGGCTTTTTTTTAATTGAAGCTCATGTAGTTTCATGAAACAATCTAATAAAATGCTTTATTCACCTATTCTCAATGGATTTGAAGAACCACGTCGTTTCTCCAGTGGGTTTCCAATCATTTTCTTGATTCATTTCTTTTTCATTCAATTTCGTTATGAGATATTCAAATTTTAAATGAAAGCTTGCCTGAGCTTTCCACGAAGCGAACCCCTGAGCTCTAGAGAAAGGAAGGGAAAGGAAGAAAGAGCAGTTTGTTTGACGTTCTAAGCAATGGCAGTTTCAAAGAGTTCGAGATTTGAAAAAACAGTCTGATTATCTTAATTTCTGCTGAGAGCAAGTGGAAAACTCAAAAATCATTGAGTTTTCGATATTTCTTCTCCACATTTCAAAAACATGAACGGCTCTGTGCTTGAACATGTTGAGCTCCTACACCTTTCCAACCTTCTTCTCTGTTTTTTTCTTTCGGAAGCAAAAAAATTTTTTTGTTCTTCGAATTCATCCACTATATGTATGTCCTATTTATATTATACGAGAATTCTTAAGTTGTTCCGAACTATTCATGCGATATTTGAGGAAATAAGACATTGAGCTAGTGCCATTCTGTCTTTTTGATAGGATTTTGTGTTTTTGGAACTATCGGGGTCCCAATAAAAGGCTGCTTCTATGACATTTCATGAAGTTAATCAGTCATTTTTTTATTTTACATCTCAATACATACAACGACAGCAATCATCAATTATACATTTATCCTTTTGTTTCATCCGCCATAATCATTTCTTCGAATTTTCCTGACTGATTAAGGCATCCTCATTAGATGCTTCTCTTTCAACACTCTTCTCCAGACATAAACACCATTGCTTTCGATTATCAACGAGATTACCTCTCTTTTCTGACAAACAAACAACTCACAACATCTCTAGTGCCATTAACACTTCTTACATATTTCTTTACACAGGCATTCCCATGGATGAACGGGTTGTCTTGAATGTGGGTGGGGTTCGACATGAAACTTATCAAGCTACTCTCAAAAAAATTCCAGCAACGCGATTAAGCCGGTATGTTGTGAGTTATCTTTCTTCAAAACATACGCTTGGTTAGGTTAACGCCTTCATTAGCCAATTTTGACCCATTACTCAATGAATACTTCTTCGATAGGCATCCTGCTGTCTTTGCACAGGTTTGTTCTAGAGAAGCTCTATCCGAACAATCTCTTATATAAAGGTTTTAAACTATTATCGGACTGGGAAGTTACATTATCCAACTGATGTATGTGGCCCATTATTCGAAGAAGAATTACATTATTGGGGATTGGACGCTTCTGACACAGAGCCGTGTTGCTGGATGCAGCTCTTACATGCGAAGTATTTGAGAAGAAGAATTTTTTTTATGGAAGTTAATTATTTGAGAGACACGCAGGAAACATTAGCAGTTCTGGATCGCATGGACGTCGACAACCGCGAAGAAGACCCACAACTGCGAGAGCAAGATGTTATGAAGAAGTTTGGCTGGGAAGAAGACTACTTCCAAGTTAGTTTCAACATTTTCATCAATGATTGTATCATACGTGAATTTCAACTCATACGTGGCACTCATATTCCACGTGTTAGAAGCCACGCAAGTTGTGAGTTGATCCCGCTCAATTCATTTCTCCAAGAATAGAGTGAGGAACGGTTGTGTTGTTTCCTTCTCCTATATACATATCGTTTGCTTCTTTCAACCTAGACTTATTTTCATACTTTTAAGGGAAAACGAACTAAGTGGATGAATGTGAAGCCGAGGATATGGGCTCTATTCGATGAGCCGTATTCATCTCAATCAGCAAAAGTTCTTTTGAGTACATATTCATTATATTTTATTCGATTTGTTCCAGATAATCGCTGGAGTTTCCGTTTTCTTTATTTTCATATCTATCCTATCGTTTTGCCTGAAAACACATCCTCGTTTTCGGATTCCAATTCTGGAAAGTGTCAATGGTACATACAAAGGTCAACCATATCAAGGAGTATTCAGACAAACAACTGAACCACACATAGCATTCAGCCAGGTAAACAAGATTCAATTTTGATGAATTACTTTAAAATGTTCACAGATTGAACTCGTTTGTAATATTTGGTTCACATTTGAACTCATTGTTCGTTTCGTTTTCTGTCCTAGTCGTTGTGGTTTTCTGAAGTCTCCGTTGAACATCATAGATCTGGTAAGAAGTGCTTTCATCTATTCTCTATTACTTCACGTCATTTTAGGTTGCAACGTTATCCTTCTATGCTGACGCTATTTTCATTCGTCTGTGGGCTGATGCTCCGAAGGATGTTATGGAATTTCTGTCAATGATTCGGTAAGTACTATAAATTCCTCGTATAAACAAACATATTTTTGCCTTCCAGAATCTTTCGTCTATTCAAACTGACTCAACATCATCGTGGTCTCCAAATTCTTATTCATACGTTTAGAGCAAGTGCCAAGGAGTTGATTCTTCTGGTAAGGAATAGTAGAAAGTTTCAAATATCATGTTGTTCTTACAGGTGTTCTTCCTGATTCTTGGAATCGTCATTTTCGCTGCATTGGTTTACTATGCTGAAAAGCTAGAAGTCAATCCTGATAATCAATTCCAATCTATACCGATCGGGTTGTGGTGGGCAATTTGCACAATGACGACTGTAAGCTTTCTCCCAACTTCAGCTATTTAAACTTGAAATATCACTTGTTCAGGTTGGATATGGCGATATGACACCACATACTTCATTTGGACGTTTAGTTGGTTCTCTTTGTGCTGTTATGGGTGTCTTAACCATTGCTTTGCCTGTGCCAGTTATTGTTTCTAATTTCGCCATGTTTTACTCTCACACACAAGCCAGAGATAAATTGCCTAAAAAAAGAAGGCGCGTACTTGGTGTAGATCAGGTATACTGTATTTGTTTCTATTGATTGGATAACCTTAACGTAATAGATTCGTCTACAAGCTAGAAGGCATGCTCAAGTGATGGATACGAACCCAGTGGGTATGCGGAGAAACAATTTACCAGTGGTTATGGGTAGGATATTTTCGAAACAGAAAAAGTGAAAGAAGATTTTCACTTCCAGATCGTTTAAACAGCGTCGATCTGACGGATTCTCCTCCAAAACAAAACTCTCCACCATGTTGTAATGACAAGGAGAAGCTAGTTGAAACTTCCTCAAGTAAAAATAAACTTCAAAACAATAATAACTGCAACAAAAAACTTGCAGCTGGCTCAGATTCGAATGGAGTCGAAACAATGGTTAAAATGGATGGAAGATCTTTGAATGCGACCACTACGGTCATTGCATGAAAATAGGTAATCTCTTCTTTATTTCTTCCAAACTCACATTTCCTTTGCAGAAAATCTTTTTTGAACGAACCTACGACTTCCGGTAATTATAAAGGAATACATTCTTTTCCGATCAAAAATTGAAAATGTCATCTGTTCAATAAGGACATATCTATGCTGAACACTAGCTCGAACACAGACATCAAGTTCAGCTAGCGTCACTCCTTGTACTGATTATTTCCTTCTGATTAGGATAGTCGTAGTTATGACAACAGTTCTCGTTCATTCATTTATATCCTTATTGCTCAAATGACTATGAAAAGGTTGTGAATAGATTTCGTAACTTAATCAAATAATTCCTTCTCAAGTGCTTTACCATTTATGGAACTTCTGTGATTACGGTTGCCAACCGAACCTGTTATGTTAGAGAAATGTTTTTTTTTGCCTTTCAATCGGTGCTATCAAGATAATGTTCACTCTCCCGTTCTCTTTCTTCGCCTTCATCTCTTTGTACTGGTATTCATTTTCATATCGAAAATGAACAGCTGAATGTTTATTCAATCATTTTACTATGTAAAATATGAACATATAATGAAATACTACTTGTTCAAGTGAGAATCCCGTAAATTTGTAACTTTGACTTGTTTGTTGAGCAAGTTATTGTATTCAATATCGTGAATCGGCATCCCATCGTTGTTTCGAGTCCCAGCCATAAGCAGCTGTTGTCCATAATGTGAAAAACTGAAAACAGTTTGTCCTAGCTGCAGAGAGATGTTTCATACCAGTGGAAGCAACCAACTTGCTATGAATGGAGATGTTAACAAAGCCACAAACACCAATACAGAGCTGATGGAGTACATCACAGTGGCCAGGGTAGTCAAGAACTTCTCCTTTAAAAACAGTTGTATGAGAAACGTTAACAACAATATGCAATCACCAGAAGAGGGAAATTATATTTATAGTAGGAATCCATGATGCCCAACAAATTACAAAAGGCAAGTAAGCTACTAATCACAATGAAGAAAATGTTCACACAGAGAATCGAGAAAATCTGAGGGAATGTATGAATTCTGAAATACTCAGATTGTAAAGAAAGGGAACTAAGGGTTACCTGTAAGTACAAAAGCCCCACAACGAGTTAGGGAAGCAGTATGAATTGAAAATGGCTGCAGCTATTCCCAGAAACTGAAAAAGAATGCATTGCTTGAAAAAGATATGAACAAATTACAATTTGGGCGAGTTTCAGTCGGTTAAGTTTATCATCCCAAAATCCTCGATTGAAACGAATAGGTGGCCCACTATAATCTGCAGACATCTGTAAATGGTGAAGATTGTGAAATGTGAAAGATGGAAATGAATACGAAGAAACATTAATAGCTCAGAGAAAATTAGTTGAAATAGATATATAAAGAGATATTGAAGGAGAAGAAGAAGGAGTAGAAATGGGCATTTGCGCATTTGGAATCGACAGACGAATGCAATTGGATAAGCTTTAGGGTGAGGAAAGGAGTAATTAAGTGCTTATGGTGAGGGTGGTGGATGAAGCGAGTGTTCAGAGCAAGATTTTGGACAAGAACAATAGATAGATGTTTGGAAATGATAAAAACAAACTGTGATAAGGATATATTATGGAAGAAGATAGTATGCTAACCACAGAAAGGAAGAGTTGGTTTGTCATAACACGTGCGCGAGTTATCATCATTAGAATTCTCAGAAGACAGGATTCTTTTCAAACTATTTGTGTTTCAAAGCATTCACAGAAAATAGGAGCAATCGTTGCTTCATCTCTCCCACCCAATGATCTATAAGAATTGAGAAGTAGAAAGTAATTGTTAATTGAAAACGTAGCAGATCAAGAAACACCTATTTAAACCCAATCTATAAACTGTTATCATTATTAGTAAGGTCGATTGAGTGCTGATAACAATGGTAACGTGATAGTCTCTCGGGAGCTTCGTATGTGTTAAGCAAAATATAAATAGTTTACCTCCAACAAGTTAATGAGCGATACTCAACTTACACCGCTGTGGTTTATGGGGTAGTTAGGAAAGACTTAGACTACACATGCATGCATAATGGGCTACGCTATAGACAGCTATGACCATGCATGACCTGAGGCTAAAATAGATGAAGACTTCATAAACAGCTCGGGAAATGGAGAGAACGCAGAGAGTTATGTTCAGACTTAAAGAGATGCAGAGACTCAATGAAACATTAAGCTTGCTGGTAATCGACTGCAGGGAAAGCCCGAGGCTATTGCTTTCCATAGTCGCCATAATAAATTAGTGATGAGCACGTGTGTGCTATTTGATGAGAGGAGCTTCATTCTACACTGATGTGTTATGCAGAGTATGAAGAGAGAGTTAGAATAGAATAGGAGAGCTTGAAATGAGATGGAACGGGGAAATATTAAAGATGCGAAAAGGAACAACAGCACGAAACATACACTTGGTATACTTAGCCTAGTTATCATTCGAGTAATATGTGAAAAAGCTATTTAATTAATTTTAAGTTGGCTCTCTACGAAATTGAAAGCTTGCGCTGCTTCTAAGAGCCACATCCACAGCACAACGCATCATCGATATAGCAGACAGAACCAGCGATGGAAAAGAAAATATTATTTCTCTGTGTGGTTATGATCGATAGTAAGATAAATCAAAAAAGCATGTTAACGTTATACAAACAAATGACTAAACATTCATAAAAGACGATCAAACTCATCTCTATGAGAACAAGCCTTGTATATTGTGGCTCTTTGTGATCGCCATAGGAGAACAAAGACTATCACTACCTCTTTAAAGGCCAATCTTTTGAATACATTAATATTCTTCCCAATTTAGCGTTGGAAGATGTGAACGTGAGCGTTGTCACATCTGATTCATGCTCTGAATCATTAAGCAATGAAACTATTAATATATTTGGAAATCATTTCTGTCTGCCAGTCAAAACAAGTGCTGCTTCTATTGCTCCTGCCATATAGGCATTAGGCATAAGATGTATCATTATAACTGGAGGTCACGTGAACTTCACGTATGTTCGAGAAGGTTACATGGTCTCATTTACATTTATTTGTCAGCGAAGACCGGTTGCACATCATTTACCTCATCTGGGAGTTCATAAAACTGTTGTATACTTGAAAAAAAGGGATGAAGTTGCCATGAAAATGATTTTATAATCATAATCCTCTAATCGGATTTCATCTTCCATGAAGTTTAACTGACGAACACGGCATAGTTTCCAACAAATGTTTCTCGTACTTCTGTTATCATATTTCTAATGAACTCAGTTTTATAGATCTCGAAGTAGTAGACGGAGATGAAATCATCTTTGATTTTTCGAGAAGAAAACTCTATAAGTTTTAAAAATTTTCAAACTGAAGTTCGTGGACTTCTTGACGTGAAGCATTTGATTTGCGATGCTGTTGTTCATACGAACGTGGAAGAGAGCAACCTGCAAGATATAATAAGAAAGTTTCTTTCTTATCCCCTTTTCACCAACACTATTCATTTTCAGCCTACTATTTGAGTTCAGAGATTTGAAACCGAAAGAGTTCAATGACATTGCTCGTTTCGAAGATGAGTTATTTACCGATAAAAATGAACGTAAGATCACTTGTTCTAAAATGCAAATTTCAAAACATTTCAGAGAGGCTAAGGAGGGTCATTCAAGGATACGAAAAAGATAATTTCCATGATGTTGTACCTACATGGATGACAACTTTGTAGTTTACAATCCACGGTTCTCTAAATACTTTCCTCATTCAAGTTGTTCGATGGATGGCCTCAAACATCGACATGTTGGTATCGCTTTTTTACGCGAACCTACTAATTTTGGATTATGTTTCGAAGAAGTATCTGTCATAGTGCTTGTGTTGTCTCCAAAAGCCGAAGTATATTATCCTACTCATAATGATTTGTGAGAGTTTTAGAAACAAACCAAATCTGCATATGAAACATGTCGAACATTTGCTACAATTTTGAAAGATGATAAGCTTCGCTTAGATTGCTCTAGAATGCACGATGCTGTCAAGATAAAAGTTAGTTTGGATAATCTTCAAAAGGCTCATTGCTTTAGGAGCATTTTCTTGAAAAAGCTAAAACGCTCTGTTCCGAAGAATATGGTTTGCTGCTCGATGAGCTAACTGACAACCAATCCAAGGTAGATGATTCATTGGGCCGCGTTTAAATAAGTGTTCAGGCAAAGTGTATATACTTTCCTGGCAAAGGAGTGATTCAGGACATCCGACGTCGGGTTGGTGTCTATAAATCCGATTTCACTGATGGTTTAAAGTTTCAAGAAAGACTTACTAACATAGTTTTAAGGTTACAAAGATGCTCTTTCGATCTCGAAAACCATTTCCGCTGCTGTATTTTTGTTATTTACAATCCTACCTACTTCGATAGCGTATGGTATGCTGAATGATGAGAATACAGATGGGCTTATAAGTAAAAAGCTTATTACAATCTCAGAGTCCAATTATGGCCTTCAGATGTTCAAAAAGTTATTCTGGGACAGTGGATTGGAGGGTTAGTGTTCGGCTTGTTTGGTGGGCAAGCGTTACTTATTATAACGACCACTGCTCCATTGAGCATATACGTCTCAGGTTGTTATGCCATTAATGATTCTTCTTAGTGAAACCATATTTCAGTTATCTATCAAATTGCTAATGAGAAGAATTATGATTTCTATACGTTCTATTGTTATGTCGGAATTTACTCTCAAATCTTATTGATCGGATATGCCATTTTCCAAGTTTCAGACTTGATATCGCGTGCAAAAAGGTTTCTAGATGAACCTGACTGTTTTGATTCATGTTTCAGGTCAACAGAAGAAACATTTGCCTTGTTCATATCAGGAGCTCTGACATTCAAAGCCTTTCGAGCCATCATCACAAGTGATCTTTCTACAATAGGAAACTTGCTAAAGCATATTTCCAGCTCACGTCGCAAGTTATCACGAATGCACTCAGAACGTAACCAGTGTTATTAACGCAAGTTTAGTTCCTTGATCATAAAGAACAAAAATACTCACAATATTAGATTCCTGTGATCCATCTCAAAGTCTGCTGTTCATTCTTCTTGTCTTTGGAACCTTATGGCTCAGTTTGACGTTCTCATCTTTTCGCCACAGCGTTTATCTTACACAGTATAGTTTTCTGAAAAATTGATTATGATTTGATATGATTGGCAAATGATGAAAAGTGTATTCATCGTACAAACGAGAATGAGAAATAGCTGGCAACTACATGTTTCAGAACCATCAGAGGTTTGGTATCCGATTACTCATTACCCATCGGAGTGATAATCATGGCTATTATTGGAAATGTCATGTTTTATAATGTGAACAGTGAGGAAACAATTATAATCTTTATATTATTTGTGTCAGAATCTACTTTTCCGTATTACCCGAACACAACTGATATTCATTGGGCTCAGTTGGATAACTTTTCTGGCAACAGTCATCTCATGGCTTTCCTTCTATCCGTTCCACTCTCTCTGCTCTTTCTAGTTGATCAGGTGCTCGTCACTAAAACTATCGACAATAAACAGAATAAGTTCTCAACTTTCGGTTCTTGTAATTATAGTACAATTAGTTTGAAAAAGGGATCTTCATATCATTGGGATCTGATCATAGTTGCTGTCATAAACATTCTATTATCTTTCATTGGACTACCATGGATGCATGGAGCTTTACCTTCAGCTTTTCTTCACCTAAAGGTTTTCAAATAGCATTAAGCGAGCTGTTGTACTGATGAGTACTCATATTTAGGCGATGTCTGATGTTGAACATCGCTTTCATAACGGCTTTGTGCAAGAAACGTAGGAATTACGTTGAGCTCAGTTTAGATGTGTTTATTTCAGGATCGTTCATGTACGCGAGACACGTCTAGCCGTTCTTATCTCACATCTACTCATGATACCGATATATATATGGCTGGTTCCATATATGAGTACCTATCTCCCTGTTTCTCTTTTTCATGGTTTCAACCTTTTTCTCGTTCAAACCTTATTGTATGAATAGGATTGTTCCTGTTCATGGCGGTATCTTCTCTCACTGGAAATGAGTTTTTTGAAAGACTGAAGTTATTGATAACTGATCAGGTAGATGAGTTCAAGAGTTTACTTGGAAAGAGACTTTTCAGAGATCATACCCACCAACCCATTACATTCGTTATTTGCCGCAAAGAGTTATCCATTTGTTCACTACTTTCGAAATTATGCAACTAATCGTTCTGTACGTGTTTGGATTCTACCCTCTTCCCTATCTGCAAATGGCTTTTCCAGTTGTTATAGTTCTATTCATACCAATAAGGTTCACTCTTTATAATATTTCAGTTGATGTACTGATCTTTCAGACACTTTTTACTGCCTGCGGTCATCCATAACAGTCATCTAGAATCAATTGACCAGATACATTAAAGTTCTATTTTCATTCTTCTCCCAATTCTATCTCAGCTATATCATGCTATCTTGTGAGATTGTATAACAGATTAAACTGATTCGGAGAGAGTGTTTTCTCAACTTCGCCTAAGCTAACATTTGAGGCATGAGCTTGATGGAAGTAAATTTATTCAAGGAAGTTCTCAACAGTTATCTAATCGCTGTCTATGTGGCTACACATACAAGTTTACCACCAACGATTTTCCTTGCGAATCCAGCACAGCAAGCAGTTCTTGGGTACAGACAGACAGGTTCCATGCACGGCCGGTTGGCTGTGAAACTTCCGCTGAAACAAAGTTTAGAATAATATTTTTACATAATTTTGTTTCAATAAAAAAAACTATGTCTTACCTGCATTGACAGCCTGAGGGCCAACAGTGTCTATAAGAAGCGATAACTCCGCACATGCCGCAAGTGTCATTGCATGTTGCGCCAGTTTGAGTGTACCATGGTGTCCATGTTCCTGCGCAGTATGGAATCTTAATAGCACAAGATTGGAAACTTTTGAAGGATATATTGAAACCTGTTTATCTGTGCAGAACTCGAAGCCATCATATGTTTTAGACAGATATTTTCCAGCGCAACACTTAGCTCCGGATGGACAAGCCTGGTCTCCACAGTTCTTTTGTTCAACGGTATTTCCTCTGAAGCACTCGTTTGAATTTAAGCTGCTATGCTTATAACATACACGCAAGGACATCCATATGCAGCGGAAGCGCAGGTTCTATTGCGACTTTGAACACCACATAGTCCACACGTTCCTGAGCACGTAGACCAAGCTTTCCATTCATTCCATAATCCAGTTTGCTCTAAACGATTCAAACTCACGAAGGGATAACAACATGCTCCATATTTATATTATATTGACCCATCACTATGAGTGGGATTTTGTGGTCAACATTTTCTTACCTGGATCACAACAAGTTGTTTGCTCTGGATTAAACGCCGGTTCGGTTGGAAGAGGGCCACAGATAATAGTTTTGGTTACTGGGTCAATTCGTTTAGTATAAGGAAGGCAACAAGCGACACGTGGATAAAGACATGTCGTTGTTCCGCAAACGTCTTTTCTGGTATCGTCTCCACTAGAAACAGTTTTTTTTGCAGTATAGATGAATTATGATTGCTTACGTGCATGGGCAACCATATCTTGTTGATAAGCATTTGCGTATCCTTGTTTGAGCCCCACATGAACCACAAGTGTCGTTGCAGGGAACAGATATTGTCCACTCTCCCCAAATACCGGCATTTGGACAACATTCGACACCGCATGTATTGAGATAGGGTACTTCTTCAGGTATAATTGCCTATTTATAAACATGAGAAAGAATGAAACTAAAGCTTCACCAGAGGCCCGCAAGCATGCTTTCCAGCAATCACCATGGACTGATAGCCAGGACAACATGAAAGGCGAGGATAATAACAAACTCCAGTATTACATTGACTGATTTCTATAGAATGACCTCTGCCAAAAAAATATTATCTCGATACTTAATATACAAAACTCACTGGCAAGGACACCCTTCATTTTCTGAAATGCATGTTCTTGTCTTTGTCATGTTACCACAAGATCCACAGTAATCTGTACATTGTTCAGGGGTTATTGTCCATTCACTCCAGATTCCTGTTTCGGCACAGCACGTCTCGTTGCAGTAAGGATCGTATGGTTTATCGGGCGTAGTGTATGAAGGCTGCAAAAAGAAGTTCGAATATCTCATGTTGTAGTTACCAGTGGTCCACATGAATGCTTATCATCGATAACCATTGAAACATACGGTTCACAACATGTTGGAAGAGGGAAGTAGCAAACACCAGTATTGCAAACAATATTTCTTGTGTCGTTACCTCTTAATATATCTTTTAAGAGAGAATATACTTTTACGCTAACCTGCAATCACATCCATACTGTTCTGTGAGACATCGGCGTTTTTGCGGCAATAAGCCACAGCTGCCACAATCTTCAGAGCATTGCCCGACATCGAACCATTCGGACCAATATCCACCAGACTGGGGACAGCAATCTGTCCAGCACAGATCCGAAGGAGCTGGATCTTTTGAATCCTGAGGAGAAGTTAGCTAAAACAAAACCGAATGAGCTTACTAAGGATGGGCATGTGAGTATATTGTCTATGGAAACAGGATCTGAACCACTACAGCAAGGTGTACTGGTATTGCATGCGATAGCTCCACAGTCGGAAGATTTTGTTGCTTCACCTCTGAAATTTTCAATCAGTAACAGGTAATCCTCGTTTTCCCAAACACGCAATCACAGTTCCAGTCTTCAGAAATGCAATATCTAGATCTTGTAGTGATACCGCATCCTCCGCAAGTTGATGAACAGGATCCTCCTGCAGACCATTCTGACCAAATTCCGCCCATAACACAGCATTCCGCTTCTAGCGGACAATCCTCGTTAACAGCTTCCGGCTCAAGATCAGGCTTGAAAAACGTTGTTATTATATACATACATAAGAAGCAATACCAATGGTCCACAGAAAGACGGTCCGTTAGCGACAAGAGTCATCATCTCGAAATCATCACAGCAATATGTGCCGTTGCAAGGAGACGTGTTACAAAGTTCAGCTTTGCGCTCTGAGCCACTATGAAATTAGAAAAATTATTAAAATTGGAACAATTCAATGTATACATGCAGAAACAACTGTTAGTAGAGTCACACGTTCTTTCGTAAACTCTATAACTGCAAGACCCGCACGAACTCTCAGAACAGCTTACACTTTCCTGAACATAGAAAATAGAACAGATCAATATTAGTAACATACCACCCATTCATTCCAGCTAGCTAAAACTCTACAAGGTTTTGTTTCCGTGTCTTCTCCATCATCGCACGAGCATCCATACTCTTCTGAATAGCACGTACGGCTGCGAGTAGCCGCACCACACTATAATTTCAAAGCATTGAGAAAAACACTTAAAACGTGAACAAACCTTTCCGCAAGTGCCCCCGCTACAACCGCTCCATTCTCCCCACAGAGACCAGAAGCCACCAGGCGGACAACAGGAAACATCGGCAGGTATTGTGGGCTCACTTGGCTGAGAGAAAAAATATTACAAACGAAACTTTTTCTTCGCACACCTGTGGTCCACAGGCAAAACGGCCATTCACGAAAACAATTCGGAACCCAGTGCAGCAATTTGGAGCCGGGTACTCGCAAGCATCAATATTACAGTTACGTATGACGACATCGCTGCCACTGAAAAAAAACATGAGAAAAAGAAAACCAAGACTAAACCAACGTGCAAGAACACCCTGAAGGCTCAGATAAACAGCTCCTTCTGAAAACTTGTTGAGCACATGATCCACAATCAGCAGAACAATCATTCTCAGCAACCCACTCCGTCCAAAGACCATTAGCAGGACAACACTCAGTTCTGGACGTCGTAGTCCGCGACTGAGTGCTTGTAGTAGTGGATAAAGTAGTGGTGGTCGATGTTGTTGTCGACGATGTTGTGGATGGTGTGGTCGATGTCGTTGTCGATGAAGTTGTCGATGATGTTGTGGATGGTGTGGTCGATGTGGTCGACGATGTTGTGGATGGTGTGGTCGATGTGGTCGAGCTTGTAGTAGATGGNGATGGTGTGGTCGATGTCGTTGTCGATGACGTTGTCGACGATGTTGTGGATGGTGTGGTCGATGTGGTCGACGATGTTGTGGATGGTGTGGTCGGTGTAGTCGACGATGTAGTGGATGGTGTGGTCGATGTACTCGACGATGTTGTGGATGGTGTGGTCGATGTTGTCGAGCTTGTGGTAGATGGTGTGGTCGATGTGGTTGTCGATGAGGTTGTCGACGATG